CAGGCCAGTGGCTTTAGCAGACAGCCTGCGTTTTAAACACGTTTCTCTGGTGATCCGATGGCCTCTCTGATTTGAGAACCACTACCCTGGAGGGGTCTTCCCATGTGAGCCCGAGTCCTGCTCCCATCGGGGAGGCAGGACGGTATGGCTGGGCCCACGTCTTACTCATCAGGTCCCCACGCCTGGCTCAGTAAAGACGGACTTGGGAGCCCTGAAGCCAGGGCTTCAGCCCAGCTGTGCCACGGAGTGACTGGGCAATGGCTCGCCCTCTCCAGCCCCACGTTCCCCATCTGTAAACCTCAGTGTGCGGGTCGGGGGTGGCTGGACTAGTCAGTCTCTAGGGGCCCTTGTAGCTTTGAAGCTTGGTTGTTCACCCTCAAAAGGTTTAGCCCGGGACGCCTTTCTTCCTGAGAGCTGGATTGGATATCTTGGGCCTCCTCTGTCAGTCATCACTCACTCATGCATCAAATACTTACAGATCATCTAGGAGGTGAACCTGTGACTTCCTTGGAACTAATGGAAGTTGGCGCAGATGATGGGAAGTCCTTTCGTGATTAGGTTACATTATATATACGTCCCCCACTTGGCAGACTGGAGGGATTTTCCTTGCTGGTGTGATGAACTAAGCTGCCGTTTTGAGGAAGCCTGCATGGTGGGGAACGCAGGCGGCCTCCAGGATTTGCAGGCAGCTTCCAGCTGACAGCCAACGAAACCTGGGGCCCTCAGCCAAAGGAGGGGGGAACGGGGAGGGTCAGCGAGGGTCAGGCCTCAGAGTCCATGTGCAAAACCTCATCGGCCTCCCCACACACAGAAGCGAAAGAGGATTCTACTGTGGAACAGAGATTTCTTTCTTGAAGCTTTCCTGTTCCACGTCTGGCCCAGACGTGCCAGATTCTGTGGCTGCTAACACCAAGGGCGGGGACCCTGCGGCCTGCGGGCGGCTTTGTCTGCTCTCTCTGTGACATAGACGCTCTGCGAGGGAGAAAGGGCGGGAGGTGGCAGCGGGGGCTTCTCCCATGCTGGGTCCTGCATCTGGGGAGGCTTTCGGGCAGAGGCGGAAGCAGAGGGCTTCACGTGAGCTGCCTGCGGCTGTCAGAAGGGATGATGCTGGGATCTGCCCTGCCAGCCTGGGTCACCCCGATCACTGCAGTGTTCCTGGCTGGTTCCCCACGGTGGCAGCCGGGTACTTAGCTTCACCCTGCAGTTGTTGCTTCCCCTTTTCCTTCTCTGTGCCCTAGATTCCTCCTTCTCAAATCCTTCCTTTCCAGGAAATGTAACTTCTTGTCTTCGTCTCGCTGAGGAAAGTTCTGGCCCTCGATCTCTGACTTGAGATTGTCTAAGCTCCTCATCTCAAGCACCTGAAAAGTGAAGGGCTCTCTCTTTCCTGACAGTTCTATGATTTCCCAACTTGGTCCCAAGGTAACTAGGTTTGCTCATATTCCAACCTAAGCTGCTCCCCAGGGCTCCCTACCTCTCAGGGAGGGACTCGAACTCTCCTGGGAAAGAGACTTGACACTTTGCCCTGAAGTATTAACTCAAATGAGCAAATTGGATCAGGCTTCTCTGCCTCTCTCCCGAAAGAATGGAGTTAGACGAGGCTGATGCTGTAATCGCATCAGCAGCCGGGAGATGGGCGGGCTATAGTACGAGCCTGACGTAAAGCACTGCAGGAGGGCGTGAGGGCAAGTAAAGCAGCAGTGGGGACCACGCTGACTGCTGGTTTATGGGGCAGTGAGTCAGGGTGCCTGTTCCTCCCCCAGCCCTGTCCCAACCGCACAGCAAATGGAGGCTATGGCAGGTCACTTTGTGGGAGGGAGCAGGATGCTTCTGAGCCATGACTCAGTCTTTGCCCACGTGAAGCAACTAGAAAGAGAAGTCCCAAAGCACGATGCTCCTCACAGTAAAGGGAACGGACAGGGTTAACTGCCCATCTGGACTCAGGTCCTAGGAAATCACACTGCTGTTCTTGGCATGGACAGGTCTGCTTTTACCCAGCCGTCCTCTGGGCTACCATCTCCAGACCAGATGGGAAATCCACAAAGATAGATAAACGCGATGCCCCATTTCACACCCCAATTTAGACCCACGAAACTGCCTTGCCTCACTCTACAGGGGCACCGTGGCAGCTTCAGTTTTTCTGCAAAAATTTGCTCCCATGAAAGATGTTTTGAACGGATTGCCAAAGGTTTTTAAGAGCTTTTTAAGATTGAACTTTAAAAAAATGCACTTCATCAAGCAATTTACTCAAACATTCAAGTCTCTTCCAGGTCCTTTCAGATTCTTGCAAGGGGGTCTGAGGGGTGGTGGGTCATCGTGGTCTCAGGGGAAGGGCTTCACGACGGCAACTGTGAAGGAGGTCTTTTCCAGATAGGCTTATTCAAAAAGGAGGCCTGGCAGTGACCCAAACCAAGGCAGCCTGCAGGATGGATTTCGTTCACAGGGAGAGAGACCCCAGGAATCAACCCAGTTTTATAACCAGAGGGTTTTTGTGGTTATTGTGTTTTCCCCACACGATTATAAGCCGGAACTAGGCTGGAAACCTCGGAGGGTCCTGACCACGAAGGGCCAATAGTGCAGTCAGCTGCCAGGGCCGCATGCCAAATTAAAAGGGCCTCCAAGATGCCAGACCAGTTTGTTCTCCCCCTCACAGTGAGATGTTCTGAAGAGGTGGGAAGTCAGGGGAGCCCATCTAGTTTATCACCCCTCCCCTCAAACACACACAGCACTCAACTGGAAAACTCAAATTAGATGCTTGCTTGTAAAGTTTATTGACAACTGTTTGGTCCCAACACACAAAACAGCACTTGAACCACAAAAAAAGTGTTCAAACAAAGAGACAGTTAAGAAAAACATCTCTTCCCCCAAGCCCGATCCAAAACAAACAGTGCAAGATGGGAAAGGGGGTTTCGGTGATAACTTTTGTCTTTTTTTAAACAGATAAATCGAATCTGGTACACCTTTCCACCCAGAAATAATTTCATTGTCTTAATTCTCATATGTCATTTCGTCACATCATTTAATTAAGCCTCTGGATAAAAAAATAGATAGCGATCAACTGGCCACTGTGGAATACATGACGAACACAACAAGCATCTGCTGTATTCTCACATCTGCAAACAGCGATTGTGCGAGTCACACACGCGGCCCAGGATGACTGGCCACTCCAGCCAATGGCTCGACCACACTCACGAGACAGCGCACAACTTCAGTCTCTTCTTTGTCTGTTGCCCAAAGAAGCTGTTCTTTGAGGCTGTTCCTAGTGACTTGTAATGGTACCTCTTACGTTTTTCAAGTCCACCTTTCTTTACGTGTGAGCAAAACTAAAGTCCAAGCGTGCAAATTCAGCCTTATGACATCTCAGAATAAGGCAACTGATGTGCTCACCGCCACCTTTATTACACTGTTTAAAAGCTTCTTAAAAAAAACTGCACATTTGCATTTTACTTCCTGTCACACTATGTCTGTAGAGGAAATGCCTTCAGGAGGATTTGCAGAGTGCCACGGGGCACAGAAGGCTTTTCCAGTGTTGTTCCATCTCGACTGGGGCCATGTGTTGAGAATTGGGCATCACTGGCTTCATTTAAAAGATTTGGGGAACAAAAATCTAACCTGTAAAAATCTCTCTATAGCCCTTATTTTGTGGCATTTTATCAAAATGCTGGCTATGAAATCAGAGCCCATTTTCTGGCTTTCTAGAAATTACAAAATATAAACATTTCCCCAAAAGAAACCATCTTACTCGTGGAAGACCTTATGCCAACAGGTTCTTTCTGCTCTATGAATGAATCCGCCTTTTTGCCCAACAAATACAACCCATTGTAAATGTCAGGTTTCTCCAGGAGGGGTGAGAGGCCACCCGTCACCGGACGCCTCAGCCACCTCGAGGCGAAGGTCATTCCACAGGGCAGTGCTCCCTCAAAGGCTGGCTTTTCCCAAATGCCAACATCAGACACCACAAAAAACTCAAACATGCTTCCAACAGCGAGAAGTAACAGAGTAAAAGCAGACACTATTAAAAGACGGAGCTAACACACAGAGACGCATATATACTCACGCATAAAGCTTCCCAGCTACCAAAACCAGCTTTAAAATTACAAAAACAAGGTTAAGTTGATCAACCTTGGCCTTCATATGTATAGATAGAATTTCTGTCTCTTCCTAGTGGAAAGAGTATCGATGCCGCCCCTGTTAAAGCACCTCACCCCTCGGCTCTGATTTGTAATTTATGCATCTGATGCATATTTTAGAAAATCAGACTCTCTTCCCAACATTGCCTTTCGACACACAGTAATGTGTGTTGGAATCAAATGCTGACTTTAAATTCATGACACCAAGACCATCTCCTTTTTCTTAACCTAATCCATGACAAACTGGAACTTAACATAAAAGGGAAGCTTAAAACATCCTCAACTTTCTAGAAAGCTCTAAATGGAACCCCAAAGTGGAAACATTTTTAAAAATCTGTGATGAAGCCACCTTTGTCAACTACAGACATAGTTAAATAAAAAACGAAGCACGCTTACAAGTCACATGGAAGCCAGGAACTTTCATATCCAACCTGAAAACACATTCTCACCTCCTCGCCCACCCTTCTACTTCAGTGTGTGACCACACAGGGCACTGAACAGGCTTTGCTTCAAAGACACATCATGCATTTGATTAATACTGTCTGGAAACATCAGTAAGCAAAGGCTTAGAGACTAGATTATGCTACATGTAGGATTATCCCACTGATGTGGCTCAATGGAAGTAAAACCACTTCCTTCTAGCTGAGTTCTTACTGCTTTCTTCTCACAGAACACCATTCATTATATTTCATAATAATTAAGAAAAATTTGGTAAAATATATTAAGGATTCTTTAACGTTTCCTTGCTTTCAAATAATTGAGGGGGAAAAAAAGAAAGAAAAACTTCAGCTCAAAGCTGTGTTCAATGTGAAAGAAACTCAACATTATGGACTACATCTACAGATGAAGTAAGCGGCTTCTAGGGGGTTCTCTTGAACAGAAAAGGCTGTGTTACTTAACCCACTTTTGTGTGCAGAATCAGACAGTGTTTTCCCATCCTAATTCTATGTTCAAAACGAGAGTCAAAGCTTGGTTATAGGTGCAAAGGAAAAGTTGGCTGCCAATTTTACTCTATTTTTGGGTTGCTTTCTGGCTGGGCTCTCCACAGGGTCCTTGCTGAGCGGCGACTCCGGGGTTTCCGGGGCGGGGCATGGAGGCACCGGGACAGCTGCTGGGGCACACGAGAAGCTGGACTCAGAGGCTGGGATTTCATTCTTTCCTGGTACCGGAATTTCAACATTCTCTTCTTGGTTTAAAATCCGAATTTCTGTAAACACAGAAAAACAAACAGACTTAGTTCTAGGACCTGCAAGACGTGTGGTTTTCAGTTTCTCTCTCATATTTTCTCAAAAAATATTTAAAAAATAACCCCCTAAATATCACGCCTACGCCACAATTTACATATTAACTGTGTGGCCAATATTATGGTCACATAAGTCAAGTACTTATAAACTGTATCTCAGCTCTCCCCTGGATTAAAGTTTTAGACATCTTCATTTTCAGCTACAAATCAATGGACAATAGTTTAGAAACATTTTTTTTCCACTTTGGATTCTCTGCTCATTCTTTCTGTCAGGTAGCTAAGGACCCATAAACCATAAGCGACTTAGATTTTCAGACCAGGAGGGCCTTAGTATCCGGAAGCCCCTGGCCCATGCCACTGCCAGAGGAGCTTACTCTGCGTGGACCTAAGTGGGGGGAGGGGGAGATAAGGGGAGAACTGCACAGAGTCAAAATTACCCTCAAAAACCCAGGAAGTCAAACACAGCCAGTTTTCCTGCAGTGTTTATAAGTTGTTCCTTCTTGGCTGAGCCACAAGTAACGAGCCTGCTGTATATACAGTCATGTTGCTTGAAAGAGATGTATTGTTACACCTTAGACTCCTACTGCGGGTAAGGGGCTCTCGCACCAGAGGCACATAGAAGGTCCCTTCTCAGGCTGATCCTCGCTGAGGAGAATGGCAGACAGAACCATTCAAATGACTTTTCTCTCCTTTGTCACACGTGAACGGCTGAACTGAAGTATACTAAACGCACCAAGGCTACAACCCCACGGAAGGGCTAATACCACTCTGCCGCAGATGCTAGTTACGGGTTCCAGGGGACGCACCCCTGCTTTCATCGCAGGCTAGATCTCCTAGTGTCAGAAGCCAGGTACTGGGCAACGGTGCCAAACACGGCTTAAGAAGACTGAGGCCTGTGAGACTCAATCCAGCAGTCAGCAGGCTGTCCCTGGTGGTCTCCTGGAAAGCAGTATCAGCAGAGTGGACATGACTGATCACGACAGACGACGACGGCAAGGGAAGGACCTTGACAGAGCAGGTGGGCCATCCTCTCAGGGGGCCAGGTGATAGAGCAGAAAGGCTAGAGGCCTTGGGTTCAAATCCCGGCTCTGCCACTTCCTAGTCAAGCAGCCTGGGCCAGTGTCACCTCTAGTCATGACACAAGCTACGCCTCAGTCACCTCACCTGCAGAGTTGCGGTGAGAATTAAATGTGACCGTGTCTGTCAGCCCCGAGCGCAGAGCCAGGCACAGTGAGAGCCGTGCTGGCGTGAAGTCAGGGCTCGAGGCGGCCCGCTTCCTCTCCCTTCCCAGATCACTGTGCAGGGTCCAGGGGCTCAAGTCCCAGGTGCCCCCTCTGCCCCTACTCAGACCCTCACGAACCCCAGTCCCCCCTGGAGTCATTCAACTCTGAGCCAGACCAGAGGTGATGTGTACGCCTGGTGACAGGTGTGCTGCCTTTACAAAGGTGGGGGAACACCGGCCCGGGAAGCCCCCCAACTCCTCCAAGGGCTTCTCCCCAGCCCAGCGGCATCAGCCCTCAAGACCCACCACGGTTCCCTTGCTTGATGCTCCCTAAGCCAGCTCAGGCTCTGAGCCCAATTTTGGAGGAACCCTAAGGAAAAGAGCGTGCTGAATAATCAGCACAGGTGTTTTGGTGCCTCAAAAGGTACAGTTTCTCCCCAACTCCATCACACATTTAATATGCTTGCATAATGGTTTCACTTTTTAAACCCACAGAGAAAACCCCACAATAACACAGTGTATCCTACCAGAAGGCTCTTGAGTGTGTTCCTCAAACTGAATGAGATCCGCAGACTGGAGGATGACAGGGTCTGGTCTCAGCTGCGGGGACGGCAGGCACGAGGGGACGGGTGCACACAGGAGGTCCACAGGGGAGTCACTGGTCAGGTGCAGAAGCTCGGGCTCCGTGTGATGGGGCCCTGCACAGAGAAGGCAGGCCGAGACTACTCAGCACAGTGGTCTACCACAACTCAGCGCCTGAGGCTTTCTTTCTAAGCCTTGAAGACGATAAAGGTCAGCAAGTAGTCAAGAACTCAAGGGGCAAAAAAAAACTGTTAATAGAAAGGTCTGGTCATTCTTTGGTAAGTGAATGCCACAAGCCAGATCTCACGATTCGTGTTCTTGGGAACAGCAGTCCCCCGAGGCCCCACAGTCAGCACGCAAAGAGGGGAAATAAACAACCTTTAGAAGGGGTATGAAATAGTTACAGGAGCCAAGCTCAGAACTACAAGACGTGGGTCCCAGTGCTGTGGCTCCCCAGCTGATCTCGGCTAAGCTACTTCGCCTCCCGGGATCGCAGTTCCGCATTTGTAGGATGGAGATAAATGCCGCTGAAGGTTGTGCTGACAGCAGAGGGAGATGAGTGACATTCAGGTGCTTTCGAAAATGTAAAATGCTGCATAACTGAGTTATCCTATAAACAGAGTACAATAACACTTCTAACTATCTAACAACTTGCAGAGTTGAATGAAGATAAAATTCCCACCCGTAGCAACGGATTCAAAAGTCTTTCAATCAAGTTGAAATTGCTATGGAATTCAAGTGAGCTGATTTCTCTCTCAGAGAAGGTTCCACATAAATCAAAGTGACCCCATGTTGTTTTGAGTCACATTAATGCATTTCTATCAAGTCCTTCCCAGGGACGTCCTGTGACACACTCTCTCCTTGACTCAACTGCAGTCAGGCTCCTCTGAGCCCTCTTCTCCACTAGGCCTTGACTTGAGCCTTCCATGTCTGTCCTGTCCTCGCTGAGTCCAGTCTTAACGAGAATCTTGCAAAGTCAGCTTAGCAAGAATTCCCCTACCCTTGATGTCTCCTCCTGGTAACTTTCCATCCACTGACACCTCGCTCTGCTCCTTGACTGTAAATCACCTGCCCTTGCTGGACTGAGTCAAGCTGCGTCTCCCTCCCCTAGTGCAGTAGAATCGACTCGACTACAACAGTCTTGAAACACTGTTTCAACAAGGATCACAATAATTTTTTTATCATCTGAATCAGGCTGACATATTGTCATTATGGGAGTGCCAACATCCTTTAACAACCTTAACCAGTCAACCATGAAATGCTATCAAATGCAGGCCAGTTTCTTCTCTCTTATTAACCAAACACCAGACTGTTCTGAAAAATGTACGAATATTAACTTTAATTAATGAAAATGACCCACTGCTGTCCTTCCCCCACCCACTCCCACCCCACTCCAAGCCATTTCTCCTAGAACTTCAAAAGCTTTGCTTTGTTGTTCCTCTCTTACCCTCGCTACTCGCTTCAAGTTTGAGTTCCGAGGCTGTACACGATTCGGGCACCTCCAGGATACGCTCAGTAGCTGAGGGCTGGTTTTCAGGGTCGGCAGGGGAAAGACCGAGGCAACTCAGACGACCTGGAGGACAGAGAGCCCCCGTCAGAGGGAGGACGCAGAGAGAGACGGGGGATTTCTGCGGGGGAGGGGACAGCCGCTTACTCACTTTTCATGTCATTCTTTAATACTACAATTCTCTTGTGACCATGTCCCTTTATCCAGACGACCTGCACACAAGACATACTACTGGTTAAGCAGTGGAAAAAGAGGGGAAATAAACCCTAAAATTCAGGAAGAATGTGACCTACAGTGCTGCCTTAAACATACTAGAATTCAGAAACCGAATTAATGCCAAGAAAATTTTGTCTACACTCTTTCTTTACCTTTTAAAGTAACATGCCTCTTATAAAAAAAACCGTGTAGTCTTAAAATAGGTGAGAGACAGCTTTACAAATATCCTTTAAGGCTCTTAAAAAGACCATCTTCCCAAACAACAGCTTTGGTCTATGAATGAAGATCGTTCTCAGTGAGAGCCCTTAGCATGTTTTCTAGCAACTAAACATACCCTGAAAGAAATGTCAGAGCTCTCCTACACCCCTCAAACTAAGCTCATGATCCTAATCCTAAAACCAAGTCCTCCAACGAACGGTCCTGCTCTCCGACCCCTCAGCCGAGTGAGAGCGAGCGGCGGCCCCTGGCTCCCAGCGCTCCCCCATGAGCTTGTCACCAAGTCCCTGATCCCAGCTCCCACGTGTCCTCTGTGATCTTCACTCAGGCTCAAGCCCTTTTTAACTCTCCCCTAGACCTCAGCAAAGGCCAAGCTCCCTCCTACCTCCCCGTTTCTCTCAACCCTACTGTGCACAGCAGTACAGGCGTTTTTCATGCGCGAACCTCCCCTCCCCCGAGTCCACACTCCTATCCTGGAGGAGCACAGGCCTCCACAGCTGAGCTCTTGCTTTACCGTCAGGCTCCAGCATGGTTTCTAATGCCCCCAACGCTCCCCACTACTCACTGCTCTGCATCTGCTCATGCCGTGCCTTGGCCCAGACTGGCCCCTCTCCTCTTCACCACAAGGTTAACCTCTCCACATCCTTGACAACTCCGCTCCAGATCCCCCTCGCCTGGGGGGGGGGGGGGCTGCTCGTGACCCTCCTCAATGTGCCCGCTGAGGGCTGTGTGACACTGTCTCAACACCTGCTCAGGTGTCCTGACTCCCCATGACCCGATGCCTTTCTGAAGGCAGAGTCTGGGACTCACTCACCTGGGGTATAAGAATTTAATAAAAGGTTTGCAGAATAAAGGAGAAACGCTAAAATCAGTCATTTTATGCAAACAGTACGTTCTGAAAGGATCCATTCAAAGTGCCTGCCATCGTTATTCTGGCAGCTTTTCATTCTTCTGTTCAGGAGGGTGAGCCTGTGGCTCTCCAGGAAGACGCTCTCCAAGAAGCTCAGAGAAACACCCACCTGTGGGATTGCTCCCAAGAGCTCCTCCACACTGCTGTAGCCGTATGTCTTGGGTTGTAGTGTTTCTCCGACATACTTGGTATAGGCCACGGAAAATTCGTGAAGGAAAAGCTGCTGGTAGTGGTAAGTGTGAAGTAAAGACCGCACGTTCTTGGCAAACAAATACAGGCTTGTGAGCTTCACACACTCCTCCATCTTCTCATTAGTAAAAACCTGGTCCAAGAGAAAACACAGCATTAGAAACTTCCAAAGTGACTGGCCCTGTCCCCCCTGAAGTGAGGGCCTCCAGCTGAGAGTGACAAGGTGCCAAGTGCACTTGAAAACCGGCAACAAGTCAGGGAGGAGGAGGGATTCATTCAAGGATCTCCTCCAAGAGAAGGCCGTGGCCTTGAGCAGACTTGAGTTCTATCTGTAAGTCAAAGATACCAGACTCTGAGGAAACAGTGTGTCAGAAAGGAAGAAAACTGGCAAACCTGGGGTCTCAAACCAGAGGAGGCCGTGAAGAGGGGAGGCAAACCCCCCGTGGAAAGAACGGCAGCAGACAGCGGGGACCGAGGCCACCGGATCTCATCTCCCAAGGCAGTGTGCCAAGGAACACTGGGATGCACAACAATGACAGCAGTAGTTTTTTAAAAAATCAACAAAAGTAATAAGGGGAAAAAAAAATTCTTTTGTCCACGAGTATTTTAAGCAAATTTCTCTACCATAAACCTTCTCAGAGTCTTTAATACACACTGGGAACCTGCAAGAGAAGGGACAGTTCCTAGACTTAGCTGGCCATGGAAAGCCTTTTGTCCTGGAACATCCATTAACATTGCCTAGAACCAGTGTTCACATAATAGATAATTAACAGAGTTTAGAAAATGCTGGGTTTGATATTGTGAAAGAAAACCAGAGCTGGACAGTGGTTAAAGCAGTGAAAACAGATTTTATTCAGGCCTACAGCAATAGAGGAAAAGAGACCTCAGCGAAGAACTGGGCTCAATTCTGAATACAACAAGAAAAGTGGGGACTGACGACCAAAAAGCAGGTTTGGCGGGGGAGGGGTGCCAGTGGATGGAAAATTACTAAAAAGAGAAGATTACTTCGGGTAAGGGGTGTTCCTGCTGAAGGCAGGCCAGGGTGATCAGATATCAAGGGGGCAAGATTCTCTCTAACACCAGGCTATGCAGGCCCATCAAGGATGGGGGTGGGGATAAGGTTGAGGTCTAGTCTAGAAGGCGGCTCAGAGGCGCCTGGTTCAAGTTTGGCCAAGGAGAGTTTTTGTCAACATCTTTTAATTATTTAGTTATCAATCACACACTTATATAACAATGGTATATCACTGTTTTCTTACATTTTTGCTGGATTTTACTTGTTAATATCCTACTCAGAATCATTTTTTTCGGGGGGACTATATTAGGTTTGGAATTAAAGTTATTTTGGCTTCATAGAATGCAGTGGTGCACTCTTGTTTTTTTTCAACATGGCTTAGAATGGTTTTTAAGAAGTTGGAGTTATTTGTTCTTTAAAGGTTAGTTAAAACCCACTTATTAACCCATTTGGTCCTGGTGCCTTTTTCAGTGGTAAAATTTCAGTATCTTTAGTCTCTTTTGTGGTAACTGGTCTAATTTTTAACTTCTTGAGTCAATTTTGATAATTTTTTCTAGGATCTTATCTATTTCCTCTAGGTTTTTATATTTATTGCCTAAGAATTGCACGGACTATTCTCTTACCATTCTCCTAATGTTGAAGTGCCATTCTTGAAAGGCTACCTGGGTGACCTGCCAGTCAACCTTCTTTTCTGCCCTGTATCTGACTGCTAAGTCACTTGAAGCCACCACACAGGCCATCTCATTCAGAAAGAGATAACAGTAGCAACATCCAGCCTGGTGCAGAACAGAAGCACCCCAGTTCAGGAATCAGGAGCCAGGGCTTTCCTCCTGGCTTGTCACTCACGTGGGCAGGGTGCCTGCACCTCCCTCTGCCTCAGTTTGTTCATCTTTAAAATGACCGATTGGTCCCTTCCAACTCTACACCCTCTCATCTTGACCACTAGGTAATTCAGAAATACGCAATTCAACAGTTTGCAGTACCATCATTCTAAAGAACCTTTAGCACTCGCACCTCAACTAAGTAAGGCAGACTCTTCAGAAGTTCCGTCAGGGTCATGAAGCCATATTCACAGGGGTTGAGCGGAGTACTGTGGGTAGTTTCATAATGCCTCTTGAGCTCATCAACGGAAAGATGGGCGGCTCCTTCCCAAGACATCAACAGCACCAGCAGCTGGGCAGTGAGAGAGCGCAGGGACTTGCGGTTGATCAGCTGAATCTGTTTGCCAGACTCCATATCAGCAACCTGGGGAAAACAAGAATTCAACTTTTACGAGCTCAAGAGAGACAAGCTGGGCCACACCCAGCTGGGCTAGTTTCATTTTGGCTAATAAGACCAATAGAGGAAAAACCTCTAATTCTTTCTCTCAAACTAAAGTGACGTGAGTGGGTCTGTTTTCAGCTTCTTCGGGACATGAGAACAACACTACAGATGAGACTGAGTAGAAATTCCTCTCTCCCTCCCTGCTGCTCCATAACCAGAAACTTCATTAACACCATCCCCTCTCTTAGGGCATTCTTTCCACTCCCTCCACGAGGAGGAGATAAGACTGGCCAGCGGACATCCACTGGCCCAAGCTCACGGATTAAAGGTTATGGGAGGGAGGGAGTGTGTGTGTGTGTGTGTTGTTTAGATTGCAGGCGACACTCCACAGGGCTGCTCTGCAGACTCAACTCTCCAAGGCCCACTCTGACTACAAGGCAAACCGCATTCTTCTAAACCATCATTACTAGCCAAAAAGCTGGTATTTTCATGTCTGACTACATGTCTACTCCTCAATTCTTTCAGATTCTCAAGGAGTTACAGGGTGTAAGTGATGAAGTGCATTAGGACGGAAACTTTGTGAAAAAGACACAGGCTATCATTTGGGGATGAAACAGCCTGTGAAGAGACAAGCCATTGGTGACTGAGACCCACAAGCCTTGCTGGGGGGACAAGTCCGTGAACTGAGCCTTTGCTGGAATTAAAACAGGCACAGCGTCAGCACACACACTGCTTAGGCGTTGGTGAGGCAAACCAATGCTGACTACTACAGCTTGCTTTTCCCTTTATCTGGCTTTCCAGCCAGGACCACAGGGCTCCGTGCCTACAAGGGCTGGGTAATCATGAGTTGTACTCTCTGGGACTTTGGCTCTTTAGAGGCAGAGAGAGGTGGGCGGCACTTGAGGAGCCATCCCCATATCAGTGTGTCCTAATCTGGTTCTGACGCTCACCCAGAGCCAAGGCAGGAGGTTGGTGGGTAGACCCCCACTCCGCTTAGCATAGTTATGGATTTGTGGAGATTCTGACTATCGATTTCCTTCTCAGGAGCAGGGTTTAAATAATCAACAGATACACGTCCAGGGGAGTCTCAGTCGTCATCTTAGATGCTCAGACCATTACTACTACTCCAGCTTTTTAAGAAGAAAAACCAAAAACCCGCTCTTCCCCCCACCCAGGAAGATTCACCCTGAGCTAACATCTGTTGCCAATCTTCTTTTTTTTTTTTTTGCTTAAGCAAGATTCGCCCTAAGCTAACATCTGTGCCAATCTTCCTCTATTTTTTGTATGTGGGTCGCCACCACAGTAAGGCCACTGACAAGTGGTCTAGGTCCACGCCCAGGAACTGAACCCGGGCTGCTGAAGGGGAGTACACCAAACTTAACCACTACGCCACGGGGCCAGCCTCAAAAACCCACTCTTCTGATGCTACTTAGATACATTTCCTGATTCTCAACCCTGGCTACACATTAGAATCACCTAGGGAGTTTATAAAAAATGCCAGTGCTCAGAGCACCCTCAGACCAATTATTTAAGAATCTCAGAGGCAGGGGTGAAGTCTGGGCATCAGCATTTCCCAGAAGCTCCCTGGAAGATTCCAGTAGCAGCCAGGGTTGCACACTAAAGCCTCTGCCATCTTTACTGCTCACACCCAAACTCCCCAACCACTCGCCCTGATTCATCAAAGCCTTTGGTCATGGCTTGGTCTTCCTATCCACCAAAACCCACCACTGCCACCATCCTGGGCAACTGAACATCCAGCGGACTTGTCCCACACCATGGCCTTTCAGTTCCTCAACTTTCTCATCTCCAGTGACATCCTCTCCTACTCAATTCCACTCTAGACACCCATCCCCAGGGTCACACTTGGGATCCTGTCATTGCCCACTTCCAAAACAACTCATGCATCCCGTGTACAAAAGGAAGCCCAGGGCAGACACTGGAGTGACAGACAAGAAAGAGATTCCAATGTTCCACTCCTCTTACCTTTCTTCAACTCGGCCAGCACTGACTCCTACCTCCTTCCAATTCACAAGCCCTCTCCTCTCTTCACTTTCCTCTTTCATCCATCTTGGCGCTGATGGGCCATTAATTCATTAACACTGTCAATACTCTAAACTCCTTCGTCCCTACACCCTTTTGCACCCATCTGGCAAAGACCCACCTTGAACCCAACCATCTGCTTTCCCTGAGCTTGCACCTCAGCAGCCACGGCCCAACTGTCTCTACAGGAAATCTACGAGCACCAGCTTCCAGTGAGCCCTCCATACTCCCAGATCCCTTACCCAAATTCCTCAGGTCACTCTCCCACGCACCACAACGACAATTCAGACCTTCTCCATGCTCTTCAACCTTGAGCCCTGTCTCTTTTCTCCTCTCTCCTTCTACTTGACAGAGAAATACTCTTGGAAGGTAACTTCCTCCTTGTCCTGGTGACAAACATCAAACTTACCTATATCTGCATCTACCCTATCCTCCTTCCCTTCTCTCGAAACATAACATCCGAACCATCCTTCCTTCCACTGAATGCCAATTCCCACATCTCCTGCCTCCTCAGGACCCTCACCCCCCTCATCCTTTCTCGCCTTTGTATATCTATCTTCTCTCTCTCACGCAGATCCTTCTCAGCGGCTCTCAACCACGCTCAAGTCTCTCCAACTGGAAGGAAAAAACACAACCCAAAAACTCACTTGCTCACTCAGCCCCATAGTCTTGAGTCGCTGCCCTCTCGCTCTGCTCCCTCACAAGTAAACAAACTGGAGAGCTGTCTGGATTACCTGCCACCATTTTCTTGCCTCCTCCTCCTCATCCCTCGACCCACTCCACTGTGGCTTCAGTCCCCCCATCACACTGTTGTTGACCTCGCTTGCCAGCAACACCAAGTGCCCCCCGTTGGCTAGATCCGAAGGTCACATTAGTCCCTGTCTCACTTGCCCTCTCAGCAGCATGTGCTGGGGCTGGCTGTTCCTCCTCCTTGGCCTTGGGTGGTCCACACTCCTGGTGTTCTTCCTACTCTTGGAGCTGTGTCTCTGTGCAGGTTCTTCCTCCTCTGACCAGTACGTAAACAGACGCCTTCCAGACCTGTGACTGGGGCTGCCCCCACTTCGGATGTTTTCCTTTCCATTTCTTCCTCCTTGTAGTGAGTTTTCTTGGTCCTGCAGTGGAGGCAGCCTGCAAACTGTTCAGCTGCTCTGCCCAGGACTGGGAGGGTCAGTTCAGTCCAGGGCGGGGAAGAGGAGGAAGTTACCCTCTCCAATCCATTACCAGCAACAAAGGCAATTCTCAGCCCTAGCGTGCTCCTAAACCTACTTCTTCAGTGAGTCAGAATCTGGAAGGGAGATGAGATCTGTGATTACTGTCTCCCAAAACTTCAGAGACAAAGATCTGCTTAGAAGGATCCAACTTCAGGTCAGCAGTAGAGACTGACACATCTGAGAATAAACACTCTAGGATAAACCAGTGACCTCACCAGTTCACAAAGACATTACTTTAGCAAGGCCACTAATAAACACAAAGGCAAGACCAAAAATCTCAATTGCCAAACCCAAGTCCTCTCCTCTTACCTAATAAGGTGTTAGTGACAGACAGAGCAAGTTGCAAGGCAGTAAGCAGTGCAAGGTGCAAATACATACGTGCAAAAGCACACGTCAATATCCCAGTGAGGATTATGCCACCACGTGTTTTACTCCATGAAAAACAAAAAATCTGGTTACCTTTACAACATGGCAGAGTTTCTGTGTTAAAGCCGAAACTGAACTGACATCATAGTCTTGGAGACGAAATGTGTAACCAAAGGTTTTAGCATATTCTGTGAGCAGATCTGTCATCATAAGGCAGTTATCTTTTTGGGACCGAAGGAGTTTAACAAACTGGGCAGCCAGAGCTTTGAATCGTTCTACCTCTGTCAAAGTCAGGATTTTCTCTTCTCCACATTCCAATACCTTGGAAAACACACAGGAGGAGGAAAGGGACATTGAACAAATTATGACTGTTTGTGGAATTAAATGAGATGAAAATGTATACTAAAAAGCCCTTTAGTGTTCTTTAATGGATACAGAGTTTCAGTTTTGCAAGATTAAAAAAGTTCTGGAAATTGGTTGCACAACAATGTGAATCTCTTAGCACTACTGACCTGTATACTTAAAAAGGGTTAAATAGATAATGTGTATTTTACCACAAAAATAAAAGATAATGTGTATTTTACCACAAAAATAAAAAAGAAAATTTTAGAAGCACTTTAGGGGTCAAAAATAGTAATATTAATAAAATCAACAACAAAAATTTGGTTTAACTTAGCAATCGCTTAACAGCCAAGCATTTGTGTCACCTCCTGTACTCATCTCTGCCTCCAACATAACAGATCTGAAAAGTATGGAGCCAATGAGAGATAGTCAGTTAAGAAATCAAACTATTTAATCTTTTCAATAATTACCCTAAAACAAATTTGAAGAATGATCTATTTCTTTACTGAAGGAAAAACCACATTTACCTAAAAATACTAATGAGCCAACAACATGTATCTCTGGTAGAAATATTTCAATCTTCTCAATTTCAGTATTTCTGATTGAAATATTTCAAATTTTCATCCTATTTCCTAACTGCCTGCTTCTCAGGAATAACGGCCTGAAAATTAAAAAAATTTCCCCCATACATTAATCAGAAAAACAGAATTAGAATTTCCCCACTTACTTGTAAAATATCAGGTATGGCTTCAAAAAGTTCAAGTAGTTTGGTAAACCCATAGTAGGCGAGTTTGCACTGCCGGCCGAAGTGGTGATGGTAAGAGGGGATGAACTTATTAAAGGGCATCCGGAAATGCGGCTGGTGCCGCAGCAGATCAACCACATCCTTGGAGAACTGTTTTGTCCTTTCTATTTCATCCTGGGTACGTTCTTTAAAAAATAAAACCACCATGAATCACAACCTTCTTCTACCCATTTGTATTTAATATTATCACTGTAGTTAGTCCTATGCACAGATTACAGGTGATATCATCTTTGCCTTCTAAACACACACCACCTAAAACACACTCTTCTCTCTGAAGATGGATTTCAAACTCGCTCAAGGGCAGACCACCAGGAAGTCATGATACATTATGGTTTACTATGAAATATACATACACGCCTATGTAATTTCATCTTACAAGCTAGAAATAATTTCTCTAGCCACCCCTGTCCTCCCACCCCTACATTATATATATGAACTTGACACTCATACAGGTCTCTGTGCTTGAAAAAGTAATCTAAAAATTATTTCTATGAAATCACACTTCTGAATATTCACATGATTTTTGTTTATTCATCTGATCTTAGGTAAAAGATGCTAGTAGACGAGTATTAAGCATCAAAAGTCTAACAAAAATGCAGGCAGGAAAACACTTAAGCTTAGACTTTTGTTTGTATTAATTTTTAAAACAGAATTGAGAAAAGACTGACGTGACTCATTTTAGCTTTAGAACACTATGATTTCCTGGACATCAGTGTTCTACAGGAGCACAGTTTAAGAACCACTGATCAATAATAGTGGGAGAACATGACAGTATGTAGATTTAATTTTATCTATCCTATGTCCCAGACCTCAGCGGGAACTACTAAAAGGTGAAAGATAAAGCATTCGTTTGAGTTTTCTTTCCTTCTCAAGTGTGCACGGTAAAGTAGCTCAGCGGTAAAAAGAAGAGACAAGAAACAGCCAGGTAACTGACGTTCAAGTGGGTAATGACAGCATAAACAGCCAGACAGGCTGAAGGAGGCATTCTAAGAAAGTGCTGGTTACGCCCTTTTCCCCTTAGAGTGAATTCTAAAAAAACTACCTGGCTTTTCTTCTTGACAAGTGACTTCACCTACTCTGACAACCTAGGATCCACTGCATAGCAGAACAGTTTTCACACTGCACTTTCCACGGAATCTTCAGGAACCACAGAGAAGGAGAGGAAAAGCGCATCCCTGTATGATCCATGTTAAAATAACCATGGAGAGAGACAACTGTCTTTCAGCAAATTTAAGTCGACATACCTCTTTTGGGGATACAAATCACCATTTCGGTATCTTGTTGGGACAGGCAGATGGTTGTGTCTGGGATTTCTGATAAAATATCAATCAACTCACAGACGCCATATTCGGTGACATCCCAGTCCTTTGAGAAACACCTAGATTTTAACAATGGAAATGGGGAAAGAACAAGAAATATCATTTGCCAAAATAACTTTACAGGTTTTCTGAAAGAATGCCAAACAGAAAAGTTAGTTATTTAAAATTTGGGGGAAGAAAAAGTGTTTTAAAATATTTGCTTTTTTTTTTTTTTTTTTTTTTTTGCTTCTCATCAACTCACCAATGATAAGCCTGCGAGAATTCTCTCACAATGACCTGTTTGCTGGCCTGGGATTTGAGAAGTTTTAGTAAATCCTGAGTGAAGCGCTTCACCTGGGCCCTGTGGGTAAGGGTCAACAAGCGTTTGGAGCCCATTCCAAGGATCTGCAAATCAAACACTTTGATTACTTATACTCCTAAGACCTTGGCAGATACTGACTTTCTTGATGATGGCTCTCTCTGTTCTGTTGCCACCCTCAGAGAACAACTCCCTTGATGTACGAAAGCTGCATTTTGAAATGCACGTAGATCAACAAAATGTAGGCAGTTAGAAGGAACAAGTGGTCAAGTGCCTGGGACTCTTTTTCTCCCCTGCACACTCTTTTCTCAATAGTCACGAGTACAGAAATGTAAAGCACATTATCAGTATGGGCAACTAATTTTGTCCCTAAAACATAGTTAAAGTTTTTCAGGCCATTTTTACAAGTGGGAAGCTATTATAACACTGCAAGTTAACAGGCAAAGACTTCTTAGGAACTAATGCTAGGCTCCAACCCAGTAACTGGTTGTCAACTCGTTTCTAAAAAAGGTAAGCCCATGTTACAGCAGCTCCTGTGTACTAGTGAACAGTTCTGGAGAGGGCTGTGCTAGGAGGAAGGTGAGTCTACAGAGATTAGAATGAAAATACTCCTCAGTGCTCTTGAGTTCCTTTAAGTTGGAAACTCACAGCTTTCTGAAAAACTGAGAAGCCACCTTTTGTATATGTTTGCTGCATTCTGAAGAAAGCTTTTATAGGATGTTTTGCTCTGAACTGACTTCTTAGGAATTAATTAGGTTACTAGCAATCCTGTTTCTCCGGCTAGAGTAGCCAAAACCATGGAACAATATTTCCATCTTTAAATAAATAATCGCTTAGCATTCCTTACCTGCAAGACATGAGGCACTGCTTCTAATAACTCAATCAGCTTGGAATAGCCATAGTCTGATACCCGGCACTGCTTTGCAAAATGATGGTGATAAGATGGGATGAAATTACTAATTGGTATGACACAGGATGGTTGGCTCTTCAGTAAGTCAATCACTTCTCTACTGAACTGGATCAGCTGGGGGTTACCCACAGGACTTTTAGAACGCAGAAGCCAAGGGTCTAGATACGTGGGGAGAAAAGAGAACATGCATCAGACACACAGCATGATTTCACCAGCTGAAAGAAAGGTAACCAACCTTGCACTCCCTCACTTAAGCTCAATCATGAGCAAGTAGATGAGACCAAAAAGCTGCTTTACTTCTCAGCTTCTACACTCGGGACCCATACGCTCAAGAGGCCAGCCAACTCACTCACGGGCTCACAAATGCTTCCTCACGACTTCCTGAAGTCCAGTAGCCAAAGCAAAGCACAGTTCACCAGAGCATTAACTTGAAGCAGAAGTGAAAGTACACAGGAAGTTTCCAGCTTACAAACTGGTTGTATTTCAAAGATCCATTTGTAACTTGGTCACGTGGATCATACTTTCCCACAGAAACAAAGTTATAAATGGCCATCAAGCAGGTAGCCCAGAAGAGCCTAATTAATCCACAGAGCAGCTGAAAATGTTGCCCAGGAAACCATGGAAAGCAATAATGTAAAACTAGTATGACATAAAACTAAGAAACAGATTTTCACGTTTATCTTGAATGTTTGTATAACTAAGAAGTTTTAATTATAAAAGTATATAAATAATCAGATGGAAACCTTTATAAGGGACTAGCGGGTTAACTGGTGGTCTAGTTGTTCACATGCAGTGCTCTCATCGCCACAGCCAGGGTTCATTTCACGGTCAAGGAACCACACCACCCATCTGTTGGTTGTCGTACTGTGGCAGCCATGTGTTGCTGTGATGCTAAAAGCTATGTCACTGGTATTTCAAATGCCACCAGGGTCACCCATGGTGGACAGGCTTCAGTGGAGCTTCCAGATTAAGACAGACTAGGAAGAAAGACCTGGTCACCCACTTCCAAAAAAACCGGCCATGAAAACCCTATGAATAGCAGTGGGAGCACTGTCCGATAGAGTGCCGGAGGGTGAGAGGATGGCACAAAAACACCGGGCAGGGTTCGGCTCTGCTGTACACAGGGTCGCTAGGAGTCAGAATCGACTCGACAGCACTAACAACAAAGTGGGCTAACGACACAGGGGAAAGGAGGGAGCAGCAAAACATGCAGACCTGGAGGGGACGGAGGGGAAAGGCAGGGGGAGGTGGGTAAGAAGTTTTGGTACAAACAGAGCTCCCTGGTTATCCTTAGCTTTCCTCCTGTAGGGCAGAGGGAAGTGGAAGGAGAAGAGGAGGAAGCGTTGAGGCCAAAGAGAAGGGAGTGTCGACATGAAGGCAACCATTTACAGTGCTGTTCACAGGCAACAGGATGAGCCACCTGCATCTCGGGGGATGCCCCAAACCCAGAAACTCACCCAAATCTAGGTTCAAATGTCCTGGTCCTTTAGAGTTAAAGCTATTTTCACATTTCAGACATATTGACCAAAACGAATTTCAAAGGTAAACCTGCATTCAGAGATATGTCCTTCAAACACTTGAAACTATTTTTCAAAGGCCGGTCAAAAAGTCGAAAAGCTTCACAAAATTAGGTAGCTAAAGAGACTTTTAACTACACAATTTGGGTTTGAAATTTTACATGATTTATGCTGGCACTTTCAAAGAGTCTAGTTCTGCCAAAGCTTCAGCACTTGACAGAGTTGTTAAAAGGTCAAAGGAGACACCCATGGTGCTTTACACTTGGCGAACAGTGCTGCTGTTTAAGACGAAAGCCAACAGCCTCCACTCACAGGAGCTGGCGGCTCAGAAGGAACAATCCCTGACACCCACCTGTGTTGGGAGGAGGGGGCTTGTTGTGAATCCATTTCACCACTTTGACGCCATTCTGTGCAGTGGCAATGTTCACACCTGGAACACAGGTGATGAGGTGTTCTAAGGGAACACCCCCCTGGTTTTCCTGCACTACTTCTAGTTCACCAAACTCTGCGGAATAACAATCTGGAAAGCTGCAGTGGAAAACAAAAAGGTTAATTAAAATAACAGAAAAGCAAAACACCTGCTAAACAGAAGCCTTTACGCTAACGTAGCCATTAGTAAATTATTTTTGTTCAAATGCCAACAATTTGTGTTTGAAAGTTAAACTTAGAGTCCCAGGGAGGCAATCACTGTGGTATTTCCCTCTTTGATGCATTCTGATGGTACAAGAAATTCCTGGACAATTTTCCAGCAGAGGGAGTTAAAAATAAGGCAGCTGGGTTCCAAGTCAGTTATTTATCTGCTTTAACATATCGGTGGCCTTAAGGCAACTTAGTCCTGTGTCGGCCCCTGTATCAAATCTACCACATGGCTCATGTGTGGTCAAACAGACTTCCAAAGAATGGTTTTCTCTTTCAAATTTTGCAATCTACCACTATTTGAGGTTGGGTACTCTCTCGTAGCACACGTGCATCCTTCTAGTCTAGCACTTATAATGATCTTGTCTCTGTGAGAAGAAACTGTCCTATTCGTGTTTATGTTTCTAAAATGCAGCGCAAACACAAATTTTCTCGTTGAAGTATTGAGTGAATGAATCCCATTTCAGACTGACTTTAATTTTTAGCAAGGCTAAAATGTCAGGATGAAGCATTCTACAATACTTGCTCCGGGAGAGGTGTGGGCAGAGGGCAGACTGTCTCTAGAGAGGAGAACTAAGGCATCATATCGCAATGGCTTTGACACGTTCACCTTAATAAAGGCACAGTGCCCTCATGTGTCTGCAGAAGACTATGAACCTGGGGCGCAAACGTCTTCAAAGAGAGAATCACAAAAGGAATCTTATAGGAGTCTGGATCAAATTCATGTTCACTGCAGAAAAAAGAACACAACAGTTGACATTTCTCAGTGGTCTAAAACATTCGCAAGGTAATTCTAACAGATATTCCACGACCTTATACAAAAGGATTATTTCTAAAGAGATACGAGCATTTTACCTGAAATCCTTATTGGAACAATGCTGTCTGCAGACAGGTTCGTGATATTCTAACTCTTCAAATATAATTGGGCTGCAATTCGTCGAGGAGCCATCGTGTGACTGGGAAGACCCCAAGGGGCTCTGGCGGGCTTGACTGCTGGGTAGGAGACACACCAGTCTTCCGTTTCCTTGTTCACGGATTGCGACCGTGTCTGCTAACTTATATAAATCCGACACATTTAACTTGTGTCCAAACCTGAGAGCAAGGAAGAAGAGCGAGTTGCTGACTTAGAACATTTTTCTTGGATTACACAGAAACAACTGTCCTGTTTAAATAAAGGGCTATAACCAAGAATAGTTCCTCTGTCTCTTCGAAAGTAAAACTGGAATAATTCTATAAATTCATTCACTACTGAGCCAGTGATGTTGGCACTCCTTCAAGTCATCTTTGGCGCACTGCCCATTACAATGATTATATCATTCTGCAAGTGATCTCACCTAATTTCTTGCGATGGAAAGCTATCTGATATGACCTCGTTCAACTTGGCTCCCCTTCACTTCCAAATCCCTCTACAATACCTCTCACCATCTCTGCTCTCCTCCCTCAGAGGAGGTAGACTCCTTTCCAGCTACCCCCGCCTCACCTGTGCCTTAACCTCATGATCCACACTTCCTCTGAGACTAGACTCCTCGATACACCTCTGACTTGTGTCTTTCACACTTGAAGCTTAAAGGCACAGGCTCTGAAGGCAGACAGATTTGAGTTCATATCCTGGCTCAATCTATATGACCTTAGTCAAGTTATATAACCAACCCGGGCCTCAGTTTTCTCATCTTAAAATGGGGTGATGATACCCACCTCACAGGGTTGATGTGAGGATTCAATATGATTATGTATGGAGAGCCTGGCACATGGTAAGCGCTCATTAAATGGTAGCTGCTCCTCCAGTGGTTCTTCCCAGTGCCCCACATACACGCTCAGATTTCCCCTCTACCGAAATCAGTCTCACATCCTCCCCCCACCTCATTCATACTCTGTCCTGCTCTTGCAGACGTACGTCCTCCTTCGTGCTCTCACTCTCAGTCTCGTGCTCTCTTGTCTTCCCTATAAGGAAAACAGCTAGTCTCTCAGGAGTTGCTTCTGCTGTTTCACCATCCAGTCTGTCATCTGTTCCCTCCCGGATTTTAACCACAGGACTCTTCAGAGATGGCTCTCAAGTCACCAGCGGTCTCCTCCCCTCTAAACCTCACACCACATCCTCAATCCCTTCGATGCTGCAGGCCATCCCCACGTTCCTGATAACACCCTCACCTCTGGGTTCTCGCCCACTCTCTGTCCCTGGTGGCATTCCATCCAGTTCTGCCCTTCTGTTTCTCCTCCCTCTCCTCTGATCTTAACTGCTCCTATGTTTTTCATGATCACCTTTAGGCAAATAACTGCTGTATCTTCAGAGCTGACTTCTTTCCTAAGGGAGACTCCAAATGTGTAGAAGACCACTTGAACTCTCTACCCAGACATTCCAATGGCCCCCTAAAACTTGTATGGCAAACCCAAGATCAAAAACTCATTGTACCTCCTAAACACACTTTCTTTATTTCTCTATTTCCAGTTTAACCATACAATCATCCTTCCAGTCATCCAGAGCGAAAAATGCAGAATCAAACTGACCCCTACTTTTTACCTTGCCTGCTACAGAACATTAGTTACCAAGGCCCATTTCACCGTTTGAAACTTCTGTGCTATCTAGTTCCTTCTGTTCCAACAGCATCTGCTCAGCACCGGGACTGGTGCAGCGCCTTCCCCCTTCTGTCTCCTTCCCTCCCCTGCTCATTGCATCTCAGACACTACTGCCGCCAGAAGAGACTCCCTGAAGCGCAGTTCCTGCCCCCACCCCCTCCCCTTCCCTCACTCCTCCAATACTTCAGTGGCTCCCATTATCCACGAAATAACAGTCAAGCTCCTGGTTCTTTCCGTCCTCTGTATCCTGAAAGCATTTTCTCCTTGCCCCTCTTTAATGACAGCTTTCTTTGCTCTATAATTTGTGAATGGTTTCTCTTCTCTTCAAGACATAACTCCTCAAGGACAAGGGCTGTGTCTTCCCAGCTCTGCATTCTGCACAGAGCCTCAGCCTTTCTTTCCACTAATACTTGTTGAGCACCTACTATACACCGGGTGTGAAGACATGGTATCGGGTCAGATGCAGTGCCTGTTGTCCCTACAGTCTAGAAGGTGCTCAAAAAGCTTCACTCAATGAATAACAAAACTAATCAGTCAACTGGAAAAAATGAAAGGACAGCTTTGGGGACTAAGGTCTAAATTTGCTAAATATGAAAGAATTTTTAAGATGTATGTCAAAATCAGAATTTAAATCTGAACAGCACTGTCTTTGTCTCATTTCCTCCACCAGGCTGGAAGTTCCTTCAGAGTTGCTACCACAGTTTTATGCATAGAAATCACCAATCAGTGTTGACTGGATCAATGAAAAAAAAATAAACCTAACTTACTTTTTTTCATAGATATCTGTAAATTTAAAAAGAGGCAGACAACAGGCAGGAGCATCTTGAAGAATAGAAATTGTTTCTGCACTGTAAGATAAAATTGAATCAATTAGAGAACAGACCACTTCCTCTCCATTCAAAATTGTATTTTAAAAACAGTTCATAAAATTGATTAACCAACGTATATGCAAACCAAATTTACGAATTTCTGATATGTCAGAATTTATTTTCCAGAAAAATTTAAAGAAAGGACTTTAGGGACAAGGCAATTAAAGAATATTAAGTCACACACTGGGATTTTTATCAGACTCAAGCATAGTGCTTTCCATACCTGTATCAGGAAGACACTGACCACTCAGTGAGACAAACACCTTGTTAATGCAGAGCAAAAGGCAGAATATCTCTATACATATATCAATATGTATACAATATATCTATACCAATATCTATACAATATATCTCTAATATATTCTTATGTTAGAGATATGGGAGTGGAATTCTCATAGTTGAGGATACACAATTGAATACAGTATCTCAACTATGGTTTTTTGTTTTGTTTTGAGGAAGACTGGCCCTGAGCTAACATCCGGGCTCAGGCTATCAGGGGCTCATTGGCCCTGTTGCCCATCTTCCTCTTTTTTTTTTTCTCTTTTTTCTCCCTAAAGCCCCCAGTACATAGTTGTATATCCTAGTTGCAGGTCCTTCTAGTTATATGTGGGACACCACCTCAGCATGGTTTGATGAGTGGTGAGTAGTTCTGCACCCAGTATCCAAACCAGCGAACCCTGGGCCACCGAAGCGGAACACGCAAACTTAACTGCTGCGCCCCAGGGCCAACCCCTCAACTATGGTTTTAAAAAACAAAAAGGCACCAAAAAACACTCAGAGGGAAAACAAAAAGCGAAACTGTTAAGAGTGACTGGCTTTGAGCCATAGGATTATGGATGATTTTTTCCCCGTGCTTCTATGTTTCTGAACTTTCCAAATTGTCTTTAATGAGTATCATTTTTATTCTAGGGGAAAAAAACATAATTTAAAATTTAAAATAATGGTGAAGTATATGTCAGAGAAAAGATCTTTGAGAGCCCAAACAGATATTCAGGAGTGAGTCCTGTTTTACTAGTTCCCCCTAAAACAGAGAGAGCAAAGAAGAATCAAAGCGCATTATGAATAAAATCATTACCAGATTCCTAAGATGGATACAGTCGTAATGTAGACTTATGAGGCTGGGTGTCTATCTGACATTAAGGATGTATCTGCAAGTTGAGAGCTTGGAGCTCTGTATATCTACCCTTTATAGACAACTCCATCTTCTACTAAGATTGGAAGGTAATATTTCAGTCATTCCAGCTTCTAAACTTTTATTATAGAGTTCTACTATTTTTAGAACCTGTTCTGGAGATGTGGCGTATTATTTTACTCCTAAGTGCCTGCCAAGTTTAAGCTGTACTTCACCTTTGATTACTGACTTGAACCAGAGTCAAATTATTCTAATCAGTTTATTTCTAACTTACTATTTCTTTTTTTTTTTTTAAACTTTATTTATTTTTCCCCCCAAAGCCCCAGTAGACAGTTGTATGTCATAGCTGCATATCCTCCTAGTTGCTGTATGTGGGACGTGGCCTCAGCATGGCCAGAGAAGCGGTGCGTCAGTGCGCGCCCGGAATCCGAACCCGGACCGCCAGTAGCGGAGCTCGCGCACTTAACCGCTAAGCCACGGGGCCGGCCCTAACTTACTATTTCTAACTTCTGGTTTATTTCTAACTCTATCAATTAAGAAAAAGCATTATTGCATATGTAATCATCAAAGACAGTTGGGAATGGGATAAAACCTATTTTTATTATTTCCAAAATTGTTCCTGGACCAAAATATTATTTCCTGAAATAAATTGTTTTTTACCTCAGTAAAGAGAGTGATTTATTAGCAGTTCCTGTGGCCAGTGAGACCAGGATCTTCTTGCTGCCAATTTTGTATCTGTGGAGGCTGTTCACCGCGCTGATTGCTTCTTGTAAATTTTCCATCTGAACAACAGCCTTGAGCTGATAATCCGTATGGGGGCTGAGCTCAACACTCTTCACCTGCAGCAGTGAAAAGGAAATGGAAGGCTGTGTCCACCTAGAACACTGTCATCTTAAAACTGAAGGTGAATCAGGAAGGACCACGTGTGTGGACTTCAGTGCTTCCAGAGGGAACTTGACTGAACTCTGCATGTCTGCCAACCAGAACCTAAGTGACCTAGAATGGGTGACCTTCAGGCACATGACACTGGCCTGGCCTGCCTGTGTGCTCTGGCACACACAGCTCTCTGATGCAGGCTCAGGGGCCAGCACATGCAAGGAGTCTTTGGGGTCTTCCCCAGACCCTGCAAAAGCCCAGGGAATAGCCATTGTAAGAATATAGAAAAGTGCATTTTTAGCAAACTGCACCTAAAAACTGAATCACATACAGAAAGATATTAACAAAAACAGGCAACATTATTTTAGAATCCTATTTCCATATTTTAGGAGCCAGAGCTAACTAAAACTTGTCAGTGTTTTATTTCCCACAGTGCCATTTAAATCCCTGCCCATGACCACAAGTGCTTCTCTGCTAGGTTTCTTGCTCGCTGGGGTTGTGCCCTAAAAACTGGATGTATAGCACCACCAAGAGCAGACCAGGGGAAAAAGGACAGAGTTCAAACTCATTCGGTAACACCTGCATCCTGGCTGTGGTTAAGCATGTTGAATTAAGTTCTCTCAACTTGAAATGCCAGCAAAGGGTAAAACAAAGGCAAGAACAAGAGGGAACGGTTACCTTGCCATGCCTGGAAAATGCCTCCTGCATGAGCTGCTGCAGCTCCTTCCGGGATAATCTGTAGTCTATGTTGCTGATCTGGATGTCAGCACCATTAGCAAATGGGTCTGGGCAGTCAGCACCAAAGCCCGAATTTGCAATGTTGAAAGCCAGTGGGGATGCTCTGTGTAAAAGGTTTGGAGACATACTCCTGCTTAAAACATACACATTGAGATTATTTTTTAAAAACTGTTATTCTATTGATTTAGTTTATATCATTTAGGCTTTGTTTGAAGCTATACATAGAAAGAGCTTTCCACAACACAAACAAACCAAACATTTGGTTTTCAAATGTGTTTTTATCTTAAACATACCATAGTCCCTCCTCATCCATGGGCGATATGTTCCAAGACCACCAGTGGATGTCTAAAATCGTGGATACTACTGAACCCTGTATATACTATGTCTTTTCCTATACATACATACCTATGATAAAGTTTAACTTATAAATTAGGCACAGTAAGAGATTAACAACAATAACTAATAATAAAACAGGACAATTATAACAATATACTGATAACTGAGACAGGTACTAAGTGACCAATGGGCAGGAAGCATATACAGTGTGGATATGCTAGACAAAGGGATGATTCACATCCCAGGCGGGATGGAGCGAGATGGTGCAGGATTTCATCACACTACTCAGAATGGCGCACAATTTAAAACTTATGACTTGTTTATTTCTGGAATTTTCCATTTAACATTTTCAGACCCTATCTGACCGTGGGTAACTGAACCCTCGGAAAGTGACGACACAGATGAGGGTGGACAGCTGTACACTGATTTAGACTTCTTGTCAAAAGTACTATCTGTTGCCCCCTTATTAACAACCAATGAACTACTTAATATCAAATATTCCTTCACTGGATTATTTAAAGCTAGAGGCAGAAATTACAGGCGGGCCTGATGAATTAATTTTCCACTTTGGGTATTCATTGTTACAAAATTAGCTTGTCACACCAATGTAAGTCATTTAATCTCCCCCGGCTCTGAACAAGCTAGGCAGTCCTGCTCATGTGTTGTAGTCCTTCTCCATATAAGCAAAACTTTTATGTGAATTTTTAGATATAATTTGACAGGTTCAAAGTCACTTTCAACAGTAAGCCTCCACCAGCTCCACAGAACAGCACAACACTAGGAGGAGCTCATGAGATGCAACACGGCCTGATGGCTCCTGTCTTCCAAGCCTCCAGAATGACCGGTGTAAGCTCAGAAAGCTTAGTCAAGGGCCGGCCCCGTGGCTTAGCGGTTAAGCACGTGCGCTCCGCTACTGGCGGCCCAGGGTTCGGATCCCGGGCGGGCACCGATGCACCGCTTCTCCGGCCATGCTGGGGCCGTGTCCCACATACAGCAACTAGAAGGATGTGCAACTATGACATACAACTATCTACTGGGGCTTTGGGGAAAAAAAGGAGGAGGATTGGCAATAGGTGTTAGCTCAGAGCCGGTCTTCCTCAGCAAAAAGAGGAGGATTAGCACGGATGTTAGCTCAGGGCTGATCTTCCTCAAAAAAAAAAAAAAAAGAAAGCTTAGTGAAGGAAAGTGTTACATAGATCGTGACAGTGGTTTCAGAGGCCCTGACTTCTCACAGCTTCCTAGAATTACCCTATGAATAAGAGTAACCACTGTGCATGCGTCTAGTTTGGGCTTTTTCTTCAACATGATGAAGCGATGAGGAAATGGTAAGGATCTTAACATGATTCCCATCATTGGCTACAAAGTCCAGGACGTGCTTCTCCCTCTGACCTCTGCTTACTCTGCTTACCAAGATTCCCACATGGAGAAGGGAGAAATGGCAAGAGGCACTGCCCCTAAATGTTAGCCAGGACCCCCTGGGGTAAAGGGGGCAGGCAGAGGAGGGATGAAGACTTTTGCTGTGCTTTATGCACTTCTGTATCGCTTGAATTCTTTTAAACAACATACTATTTCGACTTCCTTTCTATGGCACGTATCCAACCCCATGGATCCAGAAGTGGAACTTACCGAGAAGACCAAGACTGAGGTGTGAGCAGAGGACCAACTTGTCTTGATGCAATCAACTTGCTAAAAGCCGATGGGTAACTCACTTGGAACGTAGTCTCCTCTTTATCTTTCTTCTCTACAGGAGAACTGGTAACACTTCGGGCACTGAGGCTCTCTTTTCTAATGGAGGGAGAAATTGAAGGCAAAAGGTCATGTGTTTTCCTTCACATCAGACAAGGAACTAAGAGAAAGAGGACTTGCACCTACTTCGGATTGGTTTTATAAACAGATTCTGCCATGCCCGAGCTTTTAGGTGTGGGCGCGGTAGCACTCGAGTTTCTGTGAGCCGGTGCCACCAGCCTCAGGGTACCCTGCTGGGGCTCACTGTTTCTAACACCAGTCTTTGACTCTAGGCGGCACAGCTCCTTCAAAGAGACAAGTATGATGGAGTTTAAAAACCAAGTACCCAAGACGTGTTAGTACAGAAAATACCTGACTTTGAGGATCATCAAAAACGGAAATTAAAAAAGCACACACCAAAAGCCAAGTGGGCACAGAAAACACAGAGACTCAGACCAAACCTACCATAAACTCCAGAAAGCAAGAGGTATCAAGATTACCTGTAAACTTCTCACATTTGTGTTTTTTGTAGCAGATCCAGAATTTGCCTGCGACCCTTTTCCAGGCGTGGCTTTGGCACTGGAAGGCTGTTCACTTGCATCTTTGATGAGGCACAATTTTGGATTCTTAAGTTTTTTTGGAGACTTCACTTTATCGGTAATTGCATTTGAACTCTTTGTTTCACAGAGTTCTCTATTTTTTGGAGTAAATGACACAATGATCCTATTACCAAAGACATCTTCATTTTCCATGCGCTTCTGAGCCCGCTCTGCGCTATCCTGGTTTATGAAGCGGAGAATGGCACTGCAGCCTGTGATACTCAGCACTTTCCCACCACAATTATCGGACAGGCGTCTGAGCCTGTTGCTGATGCTCTTGCCATCTTTATTTGCTGGTAGGTTATAAACATAGAGCAGAGTGTGGCACTGCTGATACAGAGGAAAACGATTACAACAGGTTAACTCACGGGCACACACACAGTTACAAAATAAGAACAGTGAACGATCTCCAAACTTAAGCTAACGACCTTGGAGGGGAGGGAACAGTGACTTAGACGGGAGAAGGTTAACTTATTCAGACTGAAAAACAGAGAAAGAGAAATCTATCTTAAATTATCAATCGAGTAAATGAGATCGGCAAGATGCAACGTTCCAAATAATCAGGTCTACTCTGTTTTGTTTTTTTTTTACCATAAGGAATAACAATCTCCAAAGTGGACAATCTCTCACATAAATACTACATTTGACTAGATTAGAAAAGTGAGCGCCAAACAGAAGCAGAAGGGAGGAAATGTAGCTGTAGCCAAAAGACTAAAACTGTAATGAAGAACAACAAAAGTGAATTATGAGAGCAGCTCCAAAGACTGAAGTAAGGCCTGTGTGTATTTTATTCCCAGGGCCAGACTCTGGTGTCCCCAGCTGCAGGGTGTCCTCAGCACATGTTTATTCTTGGCCTGCGGGGTACTGGGGAACGCAGTGGGACAAGCAGCACAAGTGCTTGAATCAGGAGACTGGGGTCCAATCTCTGCTCTGCTGTAATGTGACCTCCAGTGACCTGTCTCCTTTCTCTAAGTGCTGACTTCCTCTGGCCTAAGAGGATGCTGGATGAGATCATTTCTAAGCCACTTCTGTAACTCTGAAAGTTATTAAATTATGTTAAAACTGCAGTTAATGTCTGGGACTGCCCAGTCTACTGCTTCATCCACATTACAGCTCCTCTCCATTATTACTATTTCTCTAAGAGTTACATAGACATTCTCCCAAAAGCTGACACACAGCTCAGCATTGCAATAAACATTCTTATCCCAAATCGAGACTATCAGAAACACTCATCCTGCTGGAAATATGCTCACCTTCTCCCATCATGTGGCTTAAGAGGCTACAGGTGTAGCAATAACCACTACTCCTAACTGTGCACGTGCATGACAGGGAAAGCAACTACAGAAAACACAGGCTCAGAGGCCTGTTGGAGCTTACGGATTAAATACCTAAAAACTGTCCAGTTACCCCGTTTATTTTTCTCCAACTACACCAGCCAGCTGCAAACCATCACCATATTCTTTACCCATAATACTCTGAAGCAAAAAGGGTAATAATTCTTATTCCACTACTTCCACCCACCTGACACAAAACACTTGCTAGCTTTGGAGACATTGGAAAGTGGGCTGCTGGTAAGGTAAATCTAAAAGTCAATTCTCTATGATATTTTGAAAAAAGAAAAGCAAAACTCATACATGTCAATTCTCTATATATGTAAGAGAAGAACGGATGGTTTCTAAGCCTTATTTCAAAATCTGGCCAGCCTCCTAGAAGGAACAGCCTGACCTGGGCTTGGAGACCCCCTTGTTAAGGGCTGTCTTCAGCCTCCATAATCTAAGGTTGGAATACAGCAAAAAGAACACAAACCCACTTACTGGCATTTTTAGTGGTAACCTGGGGGGCAAGTCCGAAATGAATTCTTCAAATCTGATCAGCTCGTTAGCATGATGCAGCAGTGCTTCTGAGGCCTGGTTTTTATGGACCAAAATTATGTGGAAACCATGCCTGTGTCTCAGGTCACTAAGTTCCAATGCGAAATTGACATCAGCTGAAAGAAAAGGTACAACCCACCCAAACATTAGAAACACTTGACAAAGACAGACAACTCTATTGACACCCACCGAGAAGAAAGGAATGGCTGGACTGCATTCAAAGTTGCTTCACCTTCCCCCTGACCCCCATCTTAAAACAGGAACATATCTCATATCAGAAGAATTAACACAGTAAGACAATTTTACCACATATTTACATTGAATCCCAAGATGCATGTTCCTTCTAGTAGTAAACAGAGCCAATATTAATATTTTGGGGAGCCTCAACTTTGGAAATTATTTATCTTAGATTTTTAAAATTAGCAATACTGGGCCTGGGGTAAAAATATATATACATACGTTACATTTTCTTTAATAAACTTGGCCCCACAAGAATCCTTACTCAAGTTCCAAGAAGACACTACAGAAATCCATGTAGACCCAATTTTTTTTCTAAACAGTTTGCAGAGATAAGCATAAATATGTCCTATGTATTTTAGCCTCTTTGGGGGCACATTTTACTTTAACGTGTTTTGGCTTCTATGATAATTCCCACAAAGTGAGTCTAGCTGAAATTAGCAGATGTCTCTACACTTACTTGACACAAGAACTACAGTGGCTGGAGCGGTGTGAGTATTTGCAAACCTTCGGAGACTCTGGCGAAGTTTATCATCAGCAGCATTTTTTGCAGTAGCATTGATGTGGGCAACGGTTACCTGTATGAATTTAGAACGAGGGCAAACAAGCAAGAGCGGAGGTTAGAAAATCACTACACAGTCTGCCCACATCTTAACAGACAGTCCTTGAGGGAAGAACTCCTTTACTATTATCATTGCCACTTAGGAACGGAAAAAAATTACAACCAGATCTCGATAATTTCACATTTGGTTCTCCGTACAAATTAACCGGCTCCATGATTATCCCTGCTCTCATCTCTAATCTTCTGCTTTTGCACTTCGTTCAACCCCCTTTCCGAAAATAGGCAGAAAAAAGGAAGTGAAATTTGAAGTAGTTAAATTAGCTCTCACTAATAGCTTTCACTAACAACTGGGAGTGATACATGATTAAGGTAAGATTTGGGGCTGTATTTGATGTCATTTGTCTATGGCTTTCAGGATTTGGGTTTAGGCGGTGGGAGAGGAGAGAGCACCTGCCCCTAAGGGAGCTAAGACGTGTTTATTCCTGTTACAACTATCAGGCTCATATACAACAGTTTCCAAAGCAAGGAAAGCTTTGTTTTGAGAGGTGCCTCAACTACCTGCAACACACAATAGGATTTACTAGTTTTGTAAGGAACATAAATATATAATTTTAGGCAACGATATGGCATATCAAAGGAATTACTTGTCTAAGTCAAAAGAACTGGATTTTAATTTCAGCCTAAGAGAAGACACTTTGAGGTCAGACAATCCGGATTTAAATCCTAGCTCATCCACTGACTGGCCATATGATCTTACAAAAGTTGCTTAATCTCTTGGGGCTTCAGTTGCAGTTGTAAATTTCAAATAATCCTATGAGCATTGTTCACAAATCAAAGGAAACAATATATATGTAACCTTTATGCTAGCATAGCTCTAGTCTCCTAGAAGTAGCATTATTGAAAGATCCGACATGATTAAATGATTTCCAGAACTTTAGAAATAATCTTTTGCTAATTTCCTTTAGTTGCAAGCTTGTTACAAATGCATATCATTAAACAAATTTTGAATTGGAGTTCTTTAAAAGAAATCACATGTGCCTATTCTTCTACCATAATAGATTAAAATTCTTTTTTTTTTTTTACCTGGCAATTATTCAGCTCTTGAATAACTTCTTTGTTTTCTTTACTGATGTCACACACACAGATGAATTCTGCTTCTCTGTGGCCTTTAAAAAACTTCTCACGGATTCTCTGTACAACAGCAGTAGCTGAACGGCCAGAGGGAACTGAGCAATTTTCAATATCCCAAAACACTCCAATGGGGGGTAAGTTTTCTAGCACCTGTCCAGCTAGTCCAACTTCTGGTGACCCTTAAGAAATATTAACACTTTCGATTACACATAGTGGAAAAGAAACTGCAAATTAAAATAAAATAATAGGTAGCTACCTATTGTTCTTAGTGGCAGAAAAACAAAATTATCGATTGATGTTCAAGTTTAAGGATACCAACCTCATTGGTTGATATAAGATAAACAACCCCAAGGTGCCTCAGTATCTCTAAGTGATTACTCCTGTTTTCCAGGAGAGAATGAATCTAAAGGTCAAGGTGCTTTAAGGCCACAATAAATCCATCGCAAAGCACTAGCCGTTCTCCTGCTGAGCAGCTATGCCTTTCTGAATGGAACTGCAGCTCTGGGGCCTGATTTTCACGCTCCGCCCACACCTGTCTACCTACTAAGTAGGAAGAACAATGAAGAGGAGAGGAAGGGTGAAGTTGTTACTGTCCTTGATTTTAAATGACTTTTTTTTTGTGAGGAAGATCAGTCCCAAGCTAACATCTGTTGCCCATCCTTCTCTTTTTGCTGAGGAAGATTGGCCCTGAGCTAACATCCGTGCCCATCTTCCTCTACTTTATATGAGACGCGGCCACAGCATGGCTTGACAAGCAGTGCGTCGGTGCACCCCCGGGATCCGAACCTGCAAACCTGCGAACCCCCAGCCACTGAAGCAGAGCGCGTGCACTTAACCACTACACCACTGGGCCAGCCCCTTAAATGACTTTTAACACTGCATTAACATCGGATTTAACAGTTTAAAAAATGTTTTCAAAACACAAAATATTATATTAACTACTTCTGAGGGAAATGCTCTTAGGTTTTCAAATACTGTTTTTCATCAGCCATTACTAGATCTTTCCGAATACTAAGAACTAGGGAGTAGACAATCAACAAGTTGGATTATGAACCTAAGTTGACACCAAGTCTCCTCCAGCACTTACTTCTCCTAATATACTCCGTTTTTCTGTACACAACTTCTGATCTCAAATAGCCTCAGCCCAACATAAAGGGCAAATGACTTACTGGTCTATAAGAATACAAAGATTTCTACCAAGAGAGAAATGGAGACTCACATACACAGTAGCTTCAGAACCACAAGGAGTCTTTTTTAAAGGCGAGTAAATGCAGTGTTAGTATTAGATATTGAAAACTAAATATGCACATGTTTTACCATACTGTCATTTACCAAATTTCGAAGCAGCTTTGCCTAGACTGGTCGCCAATAACAACGTGGTCTCCTTGCCTGTTCCTTTGGTTCCACAGCCATTACACAGAGGAATAGTAACAGGTGCAGTTTGAGTATTTGGAGGTGGTATATTTGGCCAGACTTTAGCAGCATCAATTACACTATTTCTTGCCGGCTGTTTTAAAATTTTTTTAAAAAAAGGAGGAGGTTTCAGATACAGCATTTCAGAACCTAGAGTTATATTCAACAACTGAAAACTCATTCTAAGTGTTTCTCCTTTCCACCTGCTAACCTCTAACAAAATGTATTTTCAAATCATCTTTCCCTGGACTATTAGCTATCAATTCATAAACTCACTTCAAGAAGTGACTTGAAATGAGCAGGGAAGATATTCACATGATCCAACCTTTACATTCTGGGGCACGTGTCTCCTGCAACGGAGACCTCAGGCACACTTTACATAAACGGACTTAAAGTCTTAGCACCAGTGTGACTGAGGCCAAGTTTCAAGTTCACCAAAATATTATAAAAGGATAACATGCAGTTACCTACATTACATGAATGGGTCCATGTATAAGGTGTTATAAGAAATCACAATTGTGCTCTAGCCTCTAAAGACAAAACAGAACACAAGGCTTGGCCGAACTAGGTTCACATGTAGGAGATAGATTTATTAGGACAAGAGACTCTAACAGCATAAACCATATAAATAATTATTCTGTACTTTTCTGAATGGTCTCTCCCACTGCTTCTTTCAGAACCAGGAGAAGTTATGCTGATGGGGAGGAAGCTACGTCACAGAAGAATCTTCAACCCATGCACAATAAAGATTTTTCAAGGTATATCCACTTTAAAAAAAAGTCATTCCTCAAACCTCAGCTGCACCCACCATAACAAATAAAAAGATACAAACCTTGTTTAGACAGTCTTCGCAGTAAAGGGAGCCCTTTAAACAAACCGGAGGTACCACATTTAGGTGCAAAGAGTTGGTGCACAAGTGAGGCGTTAGCTCCGACTGTGAAACGTGCTCTTCCAAATGCCCGGGAGCCCCACTTGTGAACTCAGAACAGGGGAAATAGCCAGCGGAGGTGCAGCCCTGGAGAGCCGGGAACTGATGCAGCTGATGCACGTTACCATGACATGACTGGAAATGGAGCTTTCCACAACAGGGCAGGTGTTTGCAGGAAGAGAGATTACTTTCTAGACACATGCTGGGAAAGTCACTTGCAATGCCAGCCAAATTATTCCTAGCTGAGGCATTCTGGAGTGAAGAGGCAGACTGGAAAGCAAACCCGGACCCTACCTGACACGTGATTGTCCTGGTGCTCTGCGAGTCTAACAGTGTGCCCGTGTGAATCAAGCTACCAGCACCTCCGCTAGTGCCGCCGCCACCACCGCCACCACCAAAATGCATCGGCGAAGTGGAGGGTTCATTAGAGCAATGAGCACAGCAGCTTACTTTGGGGACGGCTGAAAGCTGTATTTTAGGTTGCTGGACAGAATGAATATCTGGAAGCGGGACTGCTGGAAAAAGCTTAGAGCCAGCATGAAGGGGAGATGGCACATCCTTTAACTCCACAGCGACTTTCTGGTTCTCCATGTAATCTTTCTGAGGAAAAAAACATCAGAACACAAGTTAATTTTATGAGGCTAGTGAGTTTCGGTTACATCCTATTGCATTCAAAAATGGAAATGGTGTTCAATCCTGTTTACATCACTCAATCACAACCAGACAAAATGGAACGGCAGCTAAAACCAGGGGCACTCCTCAGAGAGGTCTGCGGGCGCTGAACACTGAGACAGACAGCTAAAATTAAGACTGTGTCCTTCCTGAATTTTAAGAGCCTGGGGGAGGGGGGTCTGTTTACATCTTCAGCAAGCGAGGTTAACCATCTATGTCTCAGTGACTTCCTTTGGTAACTTCCCCTTGCCTCACAGGGTCTTCTGAAGACAAAAGAGATGGTACAAAAACAACCATTACAAACAGCATTCAATAAAGATGGCTTACAAGCAAAGCACTTTGAGGAAAATACTTAATAGTTCTTGCAGCCAGACCATAAGGGGTTTTGGTAAAGTCCTCCAGAGAAGAAGATTCCAAACATTAGGGATGAGATCAGCTATCTCCTCAAGTGGCCTGTCTGTGGAAAGGTCTTAAAACACGTTGCTGAGGACATTTAGCAAACCCAGCATATCATGACCTAAAGCCATAACGCGAACAATTATTTCATAGCCAGTGAAGAGAATGAGAGTAATTAGAAAACTATCTGGGAAAAAAGACAGAAGAGAAATAGTTTGTCATATGCCTCCAGCACAGACACAGGAGGCCAGGACGTTTGTAAAGGTTATAGCACGGCACTGTGTCAGAGACCTGGGTTAAATGTGATATGCAATAGTTTTACAGCCTTGGGGAAGGGACTTAACCTCTCTCCACTTCAGTTTCCTCACCCTTCAACTGAGAACAACAGAATGCGCCCCCACAGCTGTCAGAAGGATAAAATGAGATAGTGCACATAGGCACTCTATAGACTACTGGGCCACTGAAAGGGGATCTAACTAATCAACAGCCTTTTTGGCTGACTGCACAAACTATGAAGATGAAGAGGATGCCCTGATTTAGTGACTGAGACATGCTCATCCCTCAGAGCATAGAAGAGTCTGTCTGACTGCTACGATTTTACTCCTTTTGCTGTGATTCTACACTCACCTGGGAGAAATCTGGATTTTCAATTAGACTTTTCCTAAAAGGGAAGTATTAGCAATGGACTGACCAGTCAACAAGCAGTGTGTTCTGTCCTCCTGGTAACTACAGTTCAGGCTGCAAATTAATTCACTGGCATTCTGATTTATATAGATCTAGCTCTTATGGGCAGGGTTATTGTGAGTCGGTCTCCCTGAACGTACTCAATTCTAGGTGCCACTGACAAAATCAAGTTTCTGGATCTGTAAAGTTCACAGTGCAATTGTGTATTGTGTGACTCTATGAGGGCCAGACCTGCCATCCCAGGAAGCCCTGCTTGAACTGCCAACCCTGTTGTCAACCAGGACAACCCCTGTTGTCCCTAAAGTCAAACAATTCTGAAATGACCCCAATTACTAATGCCATGCAACAAAGATAGCTACATAATGAAAACCTATAAGACAGGGAATTCGATTTTTTAAAAAGTTATTATTAATACCCTTACACAAATTCATAGTGAAGTCTCATTTAAATCCCAAGTGCAATAGTAAAAAAAAAAAAAAAAAATAGAAATAGAAAAGTGGTAACATGATGCATGAAATCAGAAAAAGTCAAAATCACCATGAAAAGACAAAGGAAGAAGTTATAGACATATTTAAATACTCAAGAGAAATCTTGAATAGAAAAAGACTGTCAATAAAGTCCTATCAATCTTTCCTTGATTGTAACTGTCAAAACTCGGAAGCCTACGGTAAAATAAAATCTATTTTGTACTTTCCTCTGATTTTACTCTACAATGTGAATTTTATCTTTGGAATCTGTGACTTTAATGAGAAACGAATCTTCCCAAAATGTTAACATTAAATATTTAAAGCATCTACTGTTCCTTCGAGTGGAAGTAAAGGAGTTAAAAAATTATGCTCTCATTGAGTCAGGAATTATAATAATGTGCTCCAAGCAGTAACATAAGCAGGGTACAGAGAAAACTTAGCACAGCCTCCAGGGAGAGAGACGGGCCCAGACCAAAGGGACCACTCATCGATTTGAGTAAAGAATTTGCTATGTCCTTAGTCTTGTACATAGTTACCGTTTGGGGACTAAGTGACAACGTCTGCTCAGGACGAGAAAAGCAATTAGAGAATTTCCAAAGCCATGGCTTAGCATCGTTATCTCGTTGAAGCCATCCAAGGGTTCTACTGCAAGAGTTCTCACTTCCGTTGCCTTCCATCATACAGCCATACAAAGTGGTTCAACATTCTTTCATCTTTCTTTTCTTTCATCCTTCCACCCTGTTAAGAAGGAGATTTCAGTGTTATTTATTTGCAGAAGTACAAATTTTATCATTTATTAAAATGTGAGACTGCAACTCTATTTATGGTACAATGGCTCCCAACAAATCAGATCTTAAGGAACAAAAGCAGAATGGCTATCAAAGCATATTACAGGTTACTAAAATTTGGTAAACCTGGTTGACTGTTTATGCTTGAACTCTAACTATCAATCTGATTTTTTTTAAAAATCTATAATCTTTCATCCCTCATGTTCCATAGCTCTTCAATTAAAAATGAACTCTGGCTGAGCCCTATTTCTTTTCTATAAACAGCCACGCTTGAGAGAAATAGCCAAACCTTGGACACCTGCATATCCCTGAGTGAAACCTCTCTGCTTCACTTGGCTGGAGCCTACTTCCTCTGGCCCTGAGCAGACTTTTTCTATAGTTTTTCTTAATTCTTCTCGACTTTCTCTCTCTAAAGACTCTACTTGTGAGAGTCAAAAAGTTAACAGAAGAGAGCATGTAATTTTAGTAAAAGAACCACCACACGTCCTCATGACCAATTACGTAAGATTTTGAAATTGATTTAAGAGCAACCTATCCCACTGTGTCTTTGATACGAGTATGGAAGGTCCAAATTAAGTGACCTCTGTGAACTTTGAATTTGATTCTGCTACAAAACAAATTGAACCAATTTCTTAGTTTACTTATTAAGAAAGTACAATCTGATATACCACCAAAAATCTAACAGAGAAATCTCAAGTCACAGATGAGCCATCTCTACTCCAGTCCAACAACACTCTTACAAGTCTTAAACAGTACAATAAAAGCAGATCAAATCAATAATAGCCATTTGGCACAGAGGCAGCCTGCCAACGGTAAGGACAACTGAACCTCATGTCCAAGTCCTCGCCATCAGACCCCGACAACCACCTACTATTACCTACAGTGGCCATTTTAAGGTTATTAATTTATCTTTCAGGAAAGAATTTCTTTTAGCTATCTCTCTGATAAGATATCTCTCTGATAAGATGCTCTTTTCAAGAGATTTCTAACATCCACATAGTAGAGTGAGGGGAGCGAGGACTATACAAGAACTGTATCTAAGGTCTAGGAGAACCAATCACATAGAGCAGGGGTAGACAGACTATGCCTGCCAGCCAAAACCAGCCCCCTGCTTGTATTTAAATGGCCTTCAAACTAAGAATGTAGTTTACATTTTTAAATTCTTGGAAAAAACCCAAAATAATAACATTTGGTGACACAAAATTACAGAAAATTCAAATTTCAGTGTCTATAAATAGTTTTATTGAGACACAGCCACACTCATCTGTTTAAGTACTGTCTATGGCTATATTTGCACTACAATTTGCAGGGTTGAGTATTTTCAAGAGACTGTATGACCCACAAAGCCTAAATATTTACTATTTGGCCATTATGTCAAAGCTACAAAACTTCTTTAAATTTCAGTTTCTTCCTGTGTAAAGTGTGGCTAATTTCTCCTCTGTCCACCTCACAACATTACTGAGGGATAAAAAATTAGATAAAGGTCCCCACCATCTGTTTCTTTTCACCATTGTATCACTTGTGCCAAGCACAGGGCATGCCACATAGTACATACTAAGTAAATATTTGTTGAATGAGGGAATGAATGAAGCAGCTGTTTACTACATACAGGTAGGAGTTAATTTGGAGATAGAGACGGAGTTAACTGCCACAATGATAGTAAATTATGGTACTTGTTTTTCCTATTAAATATAGGTCTTATATCCCCCAACAATATCCTCTCTAGATCATAAGAATTTGTGATGTTCATGATATGCAGAACTTCAACTTGCTCTCTCAAATCTCTTTAAGGGCAATCCCGAAAGTGAGCTAACACGTAGAGTATAATATAGTTTACAAAACACCTTTATTTAACATTATTTTTTCCTTCTGTAGGGAAGGAAGAAATATTCCTCTACTCTAGGTTCTTCTGGCTGGCCTACGAATTAAACTGACATAAGACAGAACAACAGGAGAAAATCAAACAAGTTTAATAACACGTACACATGGGAGAAACCCAGGAAACAAATGTTTGCCACGCCTTGCAGAGACAATGGGACGTGGAGAGGACTTTGATCAAATGGGCCTTGCTAGGTTCCTCCCTACCACACTAGTTCATGTTATACTATAGCTATCTATGGTGATAGCTCCTCCCTGGAACAGGCTTTCTATCTTAAATTCTTTTAGGCAGTTTCAGAAAGGTCCAAGTTTCTTCCTGAGTCTTTTGTTCTTAAAAATAATCAAGCCAAAGAGACACTTTGGGGGTGACAAATTCTGCTCCTCTATACCTCATTCAGCAAATAAGTTTACTAAGCATCTACTATATAGTAGGCCTGTGCTTGGCACAAGGCATATAATGATGAAAAAAAAGAGACAATGAAATCCGTTTATGTAAATTTTTTTCCCCCGCACAGTAAATCTGTGAGATAGACAAGGGAGATATAGCCACATTTTGCAAAGGAGGAAACAGAAGTTTAGTGAAGTTTTATAACTTGCCCAACATCACACAATTAGACAGGGGGCAAAACCAGGCTTGTCCACCTCTTTCCACCACACCAAGGTGCCTTCTGTATTGCTCGAGACAAGCAACAGAAACTAAAAACGTATTAGCTTGCTAGTGGCCCGGGCCTGGAAAATTTCCCAAATATTTCTGGGAATGCCACTAAGTAAGTTAGGTAACCAAAGCAAGTTGTTTGATTTGAGTGGGAGTCTTACTTCTGCCATTATCTCTCGGAGTCTTTGAGCAATTGAGATTGTGGTTGAGAACACAGTCTCTGACATCAGACTACACATTAATCTCAATTCTGCTGCTTCCTATCCGTGCAGCTTTGGGGAACTCACAACCTCTCTGAACCTCAGATCCCATCTGCAAAATGGGCCTGATAATAACAGTAGCACCCTCACTGGGCTGTGGATTGGATTAAATAAGACAAAACAGAACCCTTAGCAGTGGCCTTCTCTTAACGCCCAATCTAGTCCTCGACCACCACCCCATTCCATTACTGTTTTTTTTTTCTTAGCTCTTCTATCTAAAATTATCTTGTTCATTTGCTTGCTTTTTTGTTATCTGTCTCTCCCACGTGACAGCAGGGATCATGTTTTCTTATTCAATATTGTATCTCCTGCACTTAGCACAGGGCCTGGCACATATCAATAATTGCTGAACGAACGAGTTCAATAAATGTCTAGGAAGACCATTTAGGTTTCAATCTCCCTGTACGCAAAGCAGAATATTTACCGCTCAGATGTTAGGAAGTCCAAAAGATACTACAGATGTAACTAGAGAGCTCTGGGTAATCACAGAAAGGTGCTTGGGAAACTCGAAAAGGTGTATCACCGTGTCGCGTTGCAATTAGTAGTGGGAGTGGCTCAAGCCCTAAAGCAACTCAACACTGTCAAGCCAGAGACTACACCCTAAGGAGCGCTGAAAGACGACGGAGGATGCAACCGCTCGGGGGTTGCAGAAACACCCGCCCCTTTCTGCCTCTCTTAACCTTCCAACTGTGCACAGTCCTTTGGAAAGGTGCTCTCCACACCTGGAGGGCCCCATAGGCAGCAAGACAGGTGCGGGCGGGGAGCCAAATTCCCCCAAGGGGCAGCAGCGGCGTAGTAATGACAGTCCCGAACGGACCTGAAAGGGAGACAACCCGAACCTTGCGTGGGGGCCTGACTGGTGGTCCCAGTCCCTCCCCTCTGACTAGCCAACCTCCCCCACCCCCGCCGGCAATGGGCAGGGGAAGGGGGCACACTGTCCCCCCTCCAGCCTGGTGGCCCCACAGTAGTGGGGCCCGTCAGGGACTACTCCCCAGAGCTGCCAGCAAACTCACCTCTACCGCCAGCTCCACCTCCGCTCACATTCCGGCCCCGCCGCCTTCCCCCCGCCCCCCCCAGGCCCTTTGTTTTGATTCCCGACTCCGCAGCTCCCGCCGCCGCCGCCAAGCGCACCCTCCACTTCCGCTTCCGCACCGCACCTCCCCTGTCGCAAAACCGACGCCCTTCTTTCCCCCTCGCTCCGCCCCTTCCTCCGCCCTTCCCCCGCCGCCGCGTCCTCCCCGCGCGGGGCGTGCTGGGAACGCCGGGGGGGGCGGGGCCTCGCGGCCCTGCAGCCTCGTCAGGCTCAGTCCCCTCCCGATAAACCCCTAAATAGGCACCTTCCCGGGGGGCGACCCCGCTTTTTTGGGCGAAAACCCCCAGTTTAAGGGGGTGTTCCCCCTGGCTTCTCGTTGTGGAGTGGAAAGGAAGCTGAAAGCGGAGAATTAGGGAGCTTGGGAGGTGGAACCGGGGGAAAAACCCTGCCAACGGGGATTTGATACAACCCAGCCCTTTCGGTCTTTGGAGGGAAGGCGATTTAAATGGGATTTCGATGCAAAACCCGATCGTTTGGGCTTTTTTTCCCTCTCTCGCTTTCTTGTCACTTGATGATTCTACTTTATTAAAAAAAAATTAAATGACGCATATTTTCCACAGCATCCTTCATCTAGTGCAGCCTAGTGGCGAGTGGAGAAAAAAATAGCCAACGGGGCTTCCCAGGAGGTCCTGCGGGCCGCGGGGCTCCTTGCAAAGTTGTGACCCAGCTGGCGAAAATAAAGTGCGTGCCAAGATTGGGCTGGCTATTGTCACCGACCATTAAGAGGTCCTCGTGACTTTAGGGAGAAAACCTAATTTTTAAAAGCCCTGGTCCAGAGCTTGTTACAAATGAGTACAACTTTGCCAGTGATAGGTTGGGCGAGCAAAAAGGAGAACTTAGAATTGCAAAAGCCTGGTGAAGCCAACAACAGCTTGTGTTTTACGTGGATAGATATGCCACGTTTGCGGGGTTTTTTGGTTTTGCTTTTGGTGTTTAGCGCTTCCCAATCTTTACTTGTACCTGAAATAAAATTTTTTTAAAAAACTCCAAGCACAACCGTCATTTCTGAAACTGCCAGCTGCTCGCTATTTCCTGTTGCAAATTAAGGGAAAAACAGAGCACATATCTGAATCTAGACATAGTTTAGGATGTGCTAGCTGAATACTAGTTTAAGATGTGCTAGCTGACTACTACGTACAAGTTCATTTCTGAAGTTTGCCAAGAAATAGATTAACTTTGCAGACGAGTCAGTAGAAATTGCCAAAAGAACTTTCTCCGCCCCCCCCCCAAGTCGGCAGTGTGAGGCAATTTCATTAGGGAATTTGCATTAAGTGGGGAAGATTCAGGGGAAGCTAATACATCCCCGTAGACATCCTTACAGACATGTATTGTGGAGGGCAAGACCCAGCACGTAGCTGAAGAATCCTTTGTGCTTGTATTTCATTTTCCAGAACGCAGATGACAAGTACACACATCATCTGCTTGCTTAGGTATTTATTACTGCTGAGTAAATCTTCATTGTGTGTCTTTGTGGGTAGTATTTTCCAAGTGGGAATTAGAACAGATGAAAAACAACCCTTGTTTCTAACGTTTTGGTTTTTTCAAGGTACCAAACAAATATGCTTCGCTTTGGAGGTGTTTTTCTTTCTCTTTTTTATTCTAGTTGAGTATCTCTGAACACAGACCCTATCAACGAAAATATAAAAAAGGAAACAAAGTAATTGTGAATTTTTAAAATTTCTTTTTAAAAAAGTTTTTAGCCACAAAACATAAGAGCAGACACATTTTATTTGACTTCGCCTGGCGTTCTTTCAAGTCCAGAGCTGTGCCTGGTCTCAACAGGTTAAATGCAGTAAATAAAAATGAATCAATCATACTAAATGGAAAGCTAATGAAAAGTCTGAATTGCAAGTAATTTTTAAAGAAACGCAATTTTATTGTTTTCTATAGAGAACTAGCCTGAGTACACCAGCCCTTGGAAGCAGACCAAATCATATTATGAATCAAAACACAATTTGATATTTGTGAGAGTGCTTTAACATTTTTCTTAAAATATTATTCTCTTCAGTATAGCCTCTGTTAATCTTATTCCTATTTCTTTACTGGGCAAACTCTTTTATCAGAGAGTGAGTAACTTTCAGTTTTTTCCTTGTCCAAATTATAGTCTTCACATTTATGAAACCAGGATGAAGATTTATTTTTGTGCTAAGTGGCCTAGCTGCCACTAAAGGAGTTAATTCCCACAACTTCTCGTCTGCCTATGTTAGGTTTAGCGTTTGTGTGTGTGTGTGTGAGAGAGAGAGATTAGCCCTGAGCTAACATCCATTGCCAATCCTCCTCTTTTTTGCTGAGGAAGGTTGGCCTTGGGCTAACATCCGTGCCCATCTTCCTCTACTTTATATGGGACGCCACCACAGCATGGCTTGACAAGCGGTGAGTCTATGAGTACCCGGGATCCGAACCAGTGAACCCCGTGGCACCGAAGCAGGAGCGCGCACACTTAACCACTACACCACCCAGCCGGCCCCAGGTTTAGCGTTTTGAATTCATAAATTATGATAGACATACTTAAGGAAGAGGAACAGAGGTCTGCTCATTCATATCTGAGAGCCACAAGGAAAACAAATTGAATAAGAGAGGTAAAACTTTTAAAGTACACCAAAATTTCCTTTTCATTTTTAAGGTTTTACCTAATGACAAACCCATTTACCTAAACTCCTGTTCCTGAAAAGGACTTTAATGATAGTCATTTCAATGTCCTCTCCCTTTTTTTAATGGAAAATGAAGGATATAGAAAAACAACCAGTTCAAATGACTCGATCAATGCCATTTAGTCTGATACCTCATCAATTTGTGCTTCAGTTTATCTGTAAACTGGGGTGATTACCCTCTTCCCAGAAACCTCACAGAATGGTGAGGGTCAAATAAAATTCTGGGGTGAAAGCAAGTATCAGAGCAAAAGTGTCAAGAGGGTGCAAATGACGTATTAGTATTTGGGACGCAGATGAAAGTTTCCTGAAAGACATTTTGGTACTTTCCTTAACCCTGTTGAAAGTAGGGGGTGGTTCCCTTTTGTGTCCCTGAGCTTTTTCAGGAAGCAGCAAGAGTTAAAACAAAGAATTCGAGAAAGGTCATTCTTAATTTTTTAATTTAATTTTTTTTTTTTTCCCACAAAGCCCCAGTAGATAGTTGTATGTCATAGTTGCACATCCTTCTAGTTGCTGTATGTGGGATGCGGCCTCAGCATGGCTGGAGAAGCGGTGCGTCAGTGTGTGCCCAGGATCCGAACCCGGGCCGCCAGCAGCGGAGCACACGCACCCAACGGCTAAGCCACGGGGCCAGCCTGAGAAAGGTCATTCTTAACCATGGCAGGGAGATAGGAGGGATTCTATGAGTGTGGTTGGAGGCCTCAAAGTAGCTAAGATCTCTTTGTCTCTAGCATAGTGCTGAAGCACAAGGGTGTAGGAGTCAAACAGACCCAGTTTTAAAGCCTGATTTGTTACAACTTGTGAGACCTTGGGCAATGCATTTAACTTCCTGCACCTTTGTTTTCTCATCTTTAAAATGAGGACAATAAAAGTGCTTTTTCGTGATTCTCATCATTTGGGTCTCAGCCTCATCGTCACCTCCATAGAGCAGCCTTCCCTGACCATCTGAAGTGACCCCCTCTAGCGCTTTCCTGCCAAATGACCTTGCTCTATTCATAGCACTTATTACCATCTGAAATTATTTTACTTTTTCTGTTTGCTGGTTTAGCGTCTTTCCTTCTTAACAGTATTAGCCCTTTGAGGACAGGCATCTTGTCTAACATTTATTGTGCCATAAGCAGGAGTGTGCAATAAATATTTGTTGGTGAATGATCAGGGTTGCTGTGAGAAATGAGAAAACCCACGTCAAGAAGTTAGCATTGTACCTGACACACATCACCAATTAAAAACTCAAGATCATTTAACAAATGGATTGTACTTAATTATGTGCCAGACACTGTCCCAAACTTTTTACGAAAGCTATCTCATTTAGTCTCTGCATAACCCTGTGAGGTAGAATCCTATCATGAACTCCATTTTATAGATGAGGAAACTAAGTCCCAGAGAGTATAAGTAACTTGCCCAAGATCACACAGCTCCTAAGGGGCAGAGCTAGAATTCAAAGCCAGGTTCGAGACCAAACTTTTGCAAAGTTTTGCTGCGTTTGAGAAAGAAGATAATGAGGTTGAAGATTTTCATTTGGGTGTGAAGGAGTAGGAAGGACATGGGGCATTCCTTAGCCTAAGCAGACCTGGATCTTTGTCCTTCCCTCTGATTTGGGGAAAGTGGAAAAATGGGGAAAATCTAATCGGTGACAAGGGGAGGAAGTCGTATTTTCATGAAGTCTGTGGCCCACAAGTCCAAGCCCATTCCCCGGGTGTCCGAGGAGCAGCCTGCAGGCTCCAAGGCCGGCCGGGTCCCAGCCCAGCAGCGGGAGTCTCCCAGGCCCCCTCCCGCCCAGGACCGCCGCGTGGCCGCGCCGCGCCCGGGGCCCTGGGAAAAAAGTTTCCAAACCGCGCTGCTCGGCGCTGATTGGCCGAGGCGGACGCGGTCCCGTGGCGCGGCAGCCAATGGGCGGCGCCGGACGCGAGCGCGGGGGCGGGGGCGGTGTCCGGAGCCGCGGGCCGCGCCGCTCCCCGCCGCCGCCGCCTGTCCTCGGCGCCCGAGCCCGGTAAGTGCGGAGCTGCAGCCGGCGGGGCTGGGAGCTGCGCGGGGGCCGCCGCCGCCGGGAAGCTCCTCTGCCCCGCCTCGGCGCCCGCTGCGCTCTCGGGACCCCCGGGCGCCGCCGTGCGGGGACCCTGCCGCGCCCCTCGCTGGTGCATCGCTTCCCGGCCGCCCAGACTCCGCCGGTCCCGGGCGCTGGGCTGGAAAATCGCGCTGCCTGGGAGCCCCCTTCCCTAACTGGGTGCTTTCCCTCTCTTGTGTCCTCGCGCCCGGCTCCTCGCCCTTGCCAACTTTGTTTCCCTTTCAGCGCTGGTCTCGCTCGGACCCGCTGCCCTCCCCTCCCTCCTTGACTTCCTCGGTGCTTCTGCCCCCCGCGTCCTCAGTCGCCGCAGCCCGGCTCCTCTGCCCGCCCGTTCCCTCCCACCGCAGACTCCTCTC